GTATTGTATTGAAGTACTTCACCAATCGAATTCCTTAAATTTATGCAACAAGCTCTCTGATTGGCAGAGCCAAGTCTAGATCGATTGTGGGTGGAGCCAGGTGAAAAAATACTGTGCAGACATCGGCATTTTACAAACACTCGACTGTCGCGAGAGGTTAATTGGAAGAGTCCAAGTCACAGGTGGCTTCAGATCAGACCTAATTGGGTTGTCCCATTTGTTTCGTTCTACACCCAATGATACTTTGCTTTTCCATCGATGGTACAACGAGAAAACGAAAGTTACTCAGTACTAAACTAATTTACGTACAAAATATATATCAACAGGTTAGATCACTGGGACCGGAGAATTCATAACATCTTAACAGTGAATGTAGTCACATAGTCATTCTGTACTAGTTTTATTTATTTATTTATTTTTTTGAAGGGGGGGGGGAGGGTTGGCTCAAAATATTTCGGTTTAAGCCCAAGCTCTATTATATGTAACAAAGAATTACGAATTACCTGGGACCTCCTGATATATGCCGATAATTCATACTGCATTAAAAAATAAAGGAATTCTGTGGTCCCATATATTTTTTATTTTATTTTTTATCTTTCCATCGAAAATTATACATATCCGCAACATGTGAAAAAACTTTGAAGTTGGTTGGGCGGAATATCTAGAGCATTTACTACTGCAAGTTCCAGAAATTCTGACACAAGTCGGGTATATTTGCCCGAAGCCTCTGTCTCATGACATTGAATACATATTCAGTTACGTTGTATTCCGGGGAATAAGGCGGCTGAAAAACCAGGGACACGCCATATTCTTTCAGCATATTTCTTAAAATGCGCTCTCCCTGTCTATGGTGATGGAATCCACAATTATCCATCACAACCACATCGCCTTGTACAAAAAACAGGATTCCCCATATCGTTCGTATCGGACATAATTTCGTCGAAGAAAATTTTGCGTACTGTTGCCGTCGTCGGACATTTTTCCAGCGATTACTTAGTACTTGTTATGTAACTGATAGTGTACATTAACTCCGCCTACCGGAACAAATTGGGTGTCAGATCAACTATTCAGGTTGTCTAAACTCCGCCCCCGACCAATCACAGAGGTCGTTGTATACTTGACTCGATTATTTGAATACTTCAATACAATAGTATCAATACTTTGTTCAATACTATAGTAAGTGTGTCGTTCACACCTTCCCTTCATCGGTAGTAAATACAAATATCTCCTGACCAGAACAAATAATCTTGTTAGCACTGGTATCAACAGATTTATAACCACACCTATATGGAGAAATACTTTTAATTAATTTATGACATTTGAAAGCATCATGAAAGACAAATGTTCTTCCTGGTTGTTTGTAATGTTTGTAAAATGTCACTTATACTTTCAAAATTAAACAGCCTTTTAACAACACTGCTGTTGTGGATAGTAACATACAAATTTTGCCATCAAAAGACTAAAAATACTATGAATGAAGTGATTTGGTACCTGGTAACTACATACTACTATTTACTGTAAGTCACATGTAGTGATCCAAATGATTGTTTATTATACAATGTTATAGTAACTGCTTACCTTTAAGAAGATAATAATAATTGTAACCAGGATAAATGAAATAATAACAATGGATAAAGTCTAAATTACAAAAATCTTCTTCATACATTCTTTAGTAATGGATCGAACACTAGTTCTGTTGGCATGTCTGGCAGCTGATGAAAGAAGACATTCTTTATAATATATATTACTTACGGATCAAACACCAGACGTGTTATATATTCCTTTGGCATCCGTGGCAGTTGGTGAGAAAAGACATTCTGTAGCCCAATGAGCCAGATAAGTGTCTGTTTAGAAGGTTTGTTGCTGAGACTATTCGCAACTACATGAAACTCGATAACACCCTTAATCTCCTCCCGTCGCGCTGATTCGTCACGGGCAGAGTGTGCAGGGAACAATGAAGTCTGTACAGAGAAATTTAATCTGAGATTATACCATTATAAGACACAACAAACATTTCAGACAACAAAAATTGAAATTTTAGTGTTAACAGATTTACATTTTTCTAACCTAACATTACAATATATTAATTACAACACAAGCACCAGGTGAGGGGTATAGCTGTGACTCATTAAAAGAGATAGTTCACATAATTCAGGAAATGTTACAATTATCAGTACAAGTGAAAAGGGACATATTCAAATTTTAGAGTAGTTATAAATCTTACAATAATTTCTGCATAATTAACCATTTTGAATTATGTCTGCAATGTTTCAATCTCCTTTAGAAAGAAGTGTTTGTTTATCACAAAACTGTTGTGCACCACTTTGACACTATACTGAGAAATGCTTACATCTGGTCCTACCATCTTCTCTGGCTCTGTAATGGTGGCCACTACCTCTGCGAGGTATTCAGCACTGATATCTCCCTCAATCCTCTTCCTTTTTACCTCCTCAGGACTGAAGGAATCCTCTAACTTCCTTTTGAGCTCACTACCAGAACCTTATAAATATACCAAACCATTTGTCATTTCCAATAATGATATCTCCTACCTAGTGTTTTGACTTAATTCACATAATGAGGCTGACCTTATTGATGAAATCAATAATATATGGATCAAGCTGATCACATTTATCTCTAACAGACCATTAAAGTGCTTTTCTAGTGTTAGCAGATAAGTGATTTCTTCTTCAAATCTGGTTATTTCATTATTTCTACTGCTCTTAACTTAAGTAATACAGCTGTCCATGGTTGTTTAAAGGCTGGTTGCAAGTAAGAATCAAACAAAATAGGGAGAATTATTTATCACAGCTATAGGTTTGTTGTGACATGTCAGATTTATATGTTTTGAGAGTTAATTTTGCTTTTAACTCCCTTATTTCTTCAGTGGTAACAATCTGAATTTTCCACTAACCACTGATTAATTCTCAAAAACCTTTGTGCAACTGGGGCCTGTTGGATTACACTTTTCCACTGCTAAATTTACAGATAGAATTTGTCACATACCTGCTTCGGCCTTAGAGTTGCGTCTCGTGGAGGGTATAAGGCCAGGACTCACATTGATGGAAGTGTAGGTTTCGCCACTGGCTACAGGAACTGCTCCCGATGTCGTGAAACGATTCAGACCACTTACTCCTGTGGCTGTGGGTGGAGTAGGTGCTGTAGAAGGAAAATTTATTTTCATGTTGGAAACCTGGGAAGCATTCTCACAATTTTTTTCTACAAAAATCATTCTATTCTATATCAATAGATAACTCAACACACTTTCATATATAGTTATTTCAATCTCAACATTCAGCATGCAGTGCAATGATCTACCATATATATTGTTTAAGCTTTGTTTTGCACTACATCTGATATTTAATGATTTCTTGATATGATTTCTTTTTTTTTAGATGTAAATAAAACAATGCTATAAAATTATCTAAACACAAGTATTTTTCATGGACTTTAATTTGATTTTGAATTCCTTTTAAAAGAACAAAGAAACATAATAAGATACTTAAATCTACATAAGTTACAGATTGTCATATGAATAAAACCACCTGCAGTGATTGTACAGAACAAAACACAAATGTGTATTCTTGCTGAATCCAGGTGTAATACTGTAATAATTATATCCACGGAAAATAAACCACTCCACAGTACAATACTATACACGGTAATGATGCATGCCAATACTGACAACAGCATAACTTGGATGATTCTTACTGTGATTTATCGCATCATCAAAATCTAAACAGACGGATGCCATACGATTGCTGGGTGATGATCCTGTCATATTTGCTGCATTCTGGGAAAATTCGGGATCCCATATTGGTGAATTTGTACCATACACCTCTTCTTCCAACATTGATAAAAATCTGGAACAGTGATATACATACATACTTTTTATATTATTTTGTAGATTCAAAATGACTGGTTAAGTGACCCTTTGAGCTTTAAACAAGACCAACAACAACCAGAATATAATCAGATTTTGAATTTAATGTTAAATTCTATGGTGTATTCATCCCAAATCTTGTGTAAAAAATTTTTTCTATGACCACAAGATTACTCTGACAACATGATTATTGCGTTCTCTAAATCAAATGTAAGTTATACAGATGGATGGAATTTAGGGGAAAAGTGAAAGAAGTTGATGTGACGAAACACTTTCATACAATACCTTGGAAAATGTGTAAGCACAAGAGTTCTTTTTTCAGGGGGCATTTTCTCTTTCTCAGCTCGAAATTTGTCAAGAAGTTGTCTGCGCATTGTTTGGAAGACAGAACGGAGGAGAGTGCGGCCAAAGATGAGCGTTGTTTCATATCTAGTGAGGCTATCACAGAAGGCAGGCACATGGCAATAACACAACCACCTGCAATAGTGATAAAAGGATGGTCATAAAACATAACCCTGATGTATACCCATAGTATTTACTAAAGAGTGGACATAACTTTTCCTTGCAGAGTTTGTTTGAATGTTAACTTAACACCCACAATAAACAGCAATCAATTACCCAGGTCTGTAAGGATATCATCATTATATGCATTGAATAGACAATGATCTTTTTAATAATCAAACTTCATTCATGTTACTGAAAAAAGTAAAAATATTTCTCAATAGTTGCCTCAAGTTATCACAACTTGTCAATGTTGAAATTTTATAGCACCTAATCTAATTTTTTTAAACAAAATTTCTCTATATTCTACACTGTTGTTGACTTCCTAGGTCACTAAGATTTTAGGAGATTCCTCTAATTTGTCCAATGTGTAATACACAACTTAGATTTGCTTTATATAAATCTTTTATATTTTCCATACCCTACCAACCTATTAGTACACTTTTTTCATGGCAAGAGTTTTATCTATCTCCACATCTTTCCTTGTGTAGTTAACATCCTGCCTAGTAAAGTTAATTTTGCACACACCCTACCTAATGATATTAACTTTTTACATCCTATCTAGAGTAGTCATCTTTGTACACACTCTACATAGTGTAGTTAACATCCTACCTTGTGTAGTTATCTTTGTACACACTCTAAATATTGTAGTTAACACCCTATCTAGTGTAATTAACTTTGTACACACTCTACCTAATGTAGTTAACATCCTACCTTGTGTAGTTATCTGTGTACAAACTCTACATAGTGTAGTTAACACCCTATTTAGTGTAATTAACTTTGAACACACCCTACCTAGTGTAGTTAACACCCTACCTTGTGTAGTTATCTTTGTACACATTCTACCTAGTGTAGTTAACACCATACCTTGTGTAGTTATCTCTGTACACACCCTACCTAGTGTAGTTAACACCCTACCTTGTGTAGTTATCTTTGTATACACCCTACCTAGTGTAGTTAACACCCTACCTTGTGTAGTTATCTTTGTACACACACTACCTAGTGTAGTTAACACCCTACCTTGTGTAGTTATCTTTGTACACACACTACCTAGTGTAGTTAACACCATACATTGTGTAGTTATCTTTGTTTACATTCTACATATCGTAGTTAACACCCTATCTGGTGTAATTAACTTTGTCCACACCCTACATAGTGTAGTTAACACCCTATCTGGTGTAATTAACTTTGTACACACCCTACATAGTGTAGTTAACACCCTATCTGGTGTAATAAACTTTGTACACACCCTACATAGTGAAGTTAACACCCTATCTGGTGTAATTAACTTTGTACACACCCTACATAGTGTAGTTAACACCCTGTCTGGTGTAATTAACTTTGTACACACCCTACTTAGTGTAGTTAACAATAACTTTGTACACACCCTACATAGTGTAGTTAACACCCTATCTAGTGTAACTAACTTTGTACACATTCTACCTAATGTAGTTAACACCATACCTTGTGTAGTTAACTTTATACACAGCCATGTCCTCTGTACCAGCATGCTGTGTCCTGCTAGTTGGTGTCTCTAACTTCCAGTGATTAAGGCAGTGTAAAAACATCTTGGCTAAGTCGTACATTGTCTGCCATTCACGCTGGGCTAGGTGTCCAAACTTGTACACCACAAAGTTTGTTACCCCCTGTAACAGAAACAATAATAAATTATTACATTGAATAGGGGAATTTATCATTTATGGATAAAAAGTTCAAGAAATATAACAGTGTATAGTAATTAGAATTTTAAAATCTATGTGGCTAGCTAAAATAAAATTTGTCTTCTCACCTTTGCTATACTGGGTTTTTCAAATGGAGGACTCCCAAGGGGTCCTTCTATGGTGGGTTGGCTCATGTTAAGAATGCATTTCCGAAGCAGCTGAAATCAGAGATATTTCCATCAGATTTTTATTTTCCAAATTCATTTACTGGATACTCACTTTCTACAGCCTTTACTTAAATGAAAACAAATAATACCTTCCAGGAGATTTAAGCCTTTACATTAAAAGAAAAGAAATCCCATCCAACAGATTACATACATTATTAAATGGTCCTTTCTAATCATGTTTCGTAAATCCAAGATCATTTTGTAAAATCTATTTCATTGGCTTAATTTTTGCCTGCAAAAATGAAAATTTCAGTTTCCCAACTAAAATTGAGGACTACATACTTCATTAGAAGTCTTAATTACTGATCATTTGCAATTTTTTTTCATGGCAACATGTCTTTAAGTAAGAAAAAAAATGTAGAAAACAAAGAAATTGTAATGGTGGGGCAGGTGATCTTGTGCCTTTTCACGTGTGATTGGGTAATCAAGCCCTGGTCATTTTGGTTTAAGTGTACTATTACAGATTGCCATTGTCCTTCACACACCAGGTAATATATATCTAAATACAGGTACCTTGAACAGGTAGAAATACACTTGTTTTGTTTCTGCATCCTCTTCTTTGTGTACACACATAAACAGGTTTTCAACATCAACAACAATTCTCAGCAATCTGTTAAGTTCTGATTCCTCAGTGTTTTCGAGGTGAGAAACATGTGCACCTACAAAAAACCACTCTGATATTTAGTTTTCAACACACAATTAAGTAAATTGGATAAAAAAAGGGGAATGTGTTTGACTCATCAGTGCAGAAAAATACCATACTGGACCACTAGGGTTTTGGGTTGACAACAATTCAATTGAGTAAGATAGGAGAGTACCCTTCCAGATACAGTACAAAAACAATGCCCATGTCCACATATTATTTTGGATCTCCTGTTACCAGTAGAAAACCATTAACAGTAGAAAGCCTTTTGTACATGACTTAGAAGAAAATACTCTCTAAATTGAAAGCAAGATTGAGCAAATATCTAGCTTTCAATTATCTTCCTTAATTTGGACATACTGCAGTGAAGTCAAACACAAATGACTGCTGGTGATGTAGGATCTAGAGTCATTTTGAAGGTTTCAACAACATAAGTTTAATCCCCTGGTCTAGTATATTGTGACTCTTACTCTCAAGGTGAATTTCCACTAGTAAGACACTGAAGATGACCACAACCTAGGTTCTTAAGCTCTGAGGAAGCATCTCATTTTCTTACAGCTACTACCCTTTCAGTGGTCAACAGCATCAAATATGTAATAGAAAGAAGACCTAAGTAATGACAAGCATGTTCTGTCTCTGCTGGGGCTGACGTTAGTAAGGCAACCTGTTCGAATTCTTTCCTCTTTAGTTTAAACACTAAACCAACATAGTTTTGAGAATAAGTCTGAATTATACATTTTATAGTCTGATATGGTTTGTCAAATATTATAACAACATCTTTGATTCTGTTGAAAATAAAACAAGGTATTATTGAAAATTGAATGCTGATTTTCTGAAGATACCACATGACTTTTTAACTGTAAGAACATCCCTTACCAAGTGTGTGTGAACAGCTGCGACAGGGATCAGTCAGGTTAGCGAGGGGTTGTGATACGTCCATCCTCGGGGGAGTGGGTGGAGGATTAGGATTCTTCCATCCATTGCATTTACAGGAATCTGACTGCTAAAAAAAAACATTCTTCAAGTTACCATAAGTTTTTATTTACAATTAACGGTATTCCATCAAATCTAAGAAATATAATTGGGCATGTTGGCATCAGAGCATATCACATGTATGTAATATATGTTTCACAGTTTATGACCAGCATTGCCAGTAAGTGAACCACATGACAGATCTATGTAACTAAGTCTTAGTCACTATCTAGAAGGTACTTACTCTTCACTCACTATTCAGCTGATTTATTTGATGGCAATATGGTCAATTTATAGAAATATATGCTTAAAAATTAAATAAATAATCATTTTTACATGTGCACTTTGAAAAATATTGAAATTCAAAGTGAAATGACATGAATGCACATTTCAAAATAAACGTGTTGAAATACGTATTTTGAAAATTCTCTTCGAAAGTGCATATGATATTCATTCAGCGAACTTTTAACAAATCAAAATGGACATCTACTAAAGCAATTATTGATATACATAAAATGGGTATAACTAAAAATTATAAAATATCACAATGATATCAGTATTTTTTCTTCTGTATTTTTTTCTTAATTTGTAACTTGAAATGTTTTACTTTTCTCGTGTAACAATGTCAATCATGGCATTGTTTACGTTTCTGCTGTGTATTGACAGTTGCCAAATGTATGTCAGTGGGTTATTTCCCGTTAAAAATAACCCAATTCAGCTTTCATTAAATTACATTAGTTAATTAATTTCAATCAAGCACAATACAAACTTTAATTTCATAAAGCTGTAGTCTATGATAAAAGAAACATGTACATGACCAACATTAAACAACAGAAACGGAAAACTGTGAAACCTTGCAAGACGAATACACTGCTAGTTTCTCAAGCTTCTTTGTCTTTGGATAGTTCAAAACGATAGCTTTCTTCTGTGCTATTCGTTGCAGATGATTAGGCCTTGACATTTCTCCTGTTGTGCCTTGGGTCAGAGTCTGTTTTAATTGTGCACTGGTTCCATTCTGGAGGGGTTTATCCGAAGCGTCAGACATTTTCCAGTCCGCCGCTTCTACTCGTTTCGGAACTCCGTAAATCCGAAGAGTTCCACAAAGTAATACTAAATGCAACACACACCAAGTAGCGAATACAGATCAGGTGTTGTACAGAGGCGCGCAATTAGTACTTTACGATACAAATCTATAAATAAAGAAAGTATTGTAGAGAAAAAGACTTTCAAAAACCCAACTCAAACGACATCTGCCGATTTACCCAATACTACCCGATGCAAAAGTCGATTTACCCAACACGGAGACATATATAACACCAGGTCCCTGATAACACATTATGTTATATATGTCTCTGCCCAACACAACCCAATATAAAGTTAGATTTCCCAAAACAACTAACGATGATGTTTTTTCTTGTTTTAAGTGTTTTCAATGGTTGTAGTTTCAGGAATGCATGGCTCACGCGATAATCACCATTGTCACTGATTTAAACAACAAAAAAAAAACATATATACAGTATCATGGATCCCACTTAGGAAATATTTCACAGTCTAGCCTCGGTCCCGATCTATGTATGGAGTTTATTTTGCAAGTTCATCCGGTCCACGCATTTTCTGACAAAGAAAAGTGTCTGGACATAAAACAGTACTATGTATACAACAATGCACCTGATCCGTCATACTGAAATATTCCATCTTTTATGAAACAACCTGACATTTGGTTAGGCCTAAATTGTCATTTTCCCATCATTATACAATAAATGAATGATCAAAAAGTTATATATGTATTACAATATGTTTTATGATTGATTAAGTATTACAGCCAAGCATAAATATCCTATAAGATAAAAATCGTACTGTTGAATATTCCATTCGCACGTACATCGATATCAATCTGCTCTTGTCGTTTGTTATTGGTGAAGTGGGGCTTTTAGTACATCGTCACTTCGTCGATTAAAAAAACTATTTCCGGTATACAACACGTGTTGTTTGTGAAATGACAGGTTGTGCTTTAAGTTAGAAATGGGGATCGAAACGCAACAAACGCACAGACCGGGACAGTGGAAACAACAAAATAAATCTCATAAACATGGAAAACATAGGAGTAAAGGTCAATTAGAAAGACAATCGCAAGGTATGTTGATCCACATTTAACTGTAAACCGCTGTGTGCATTTGTATATCATCCACTGTGTAATGAATATTGTCAAGATCAGGCTGTTATAACGTCATTTACAATATCGTATATTTTTTGTCAATACAATTATCATTTGTCGTAATTAGAACAGTCTTGATCTACTTTCAGCTGCCTTTTTTATTTACGAAGCTGATCACAATGTAAAATTTGGGAACTGCGTGTATTAATCTGATATTACCTTTACCAGCTCTTGCAATCTTTCGTGAAAAGAGAATGAAGTTTGAAAACAAAACAAAACTTATTGAACCTTAATTTAAAGCCTTTTTACTCGTTCTCCAAGTAAGACGGAGCTTATAGTTATACTACTGTTTGATTTTCAAGTAAACTCTACATGTTGGTAACTTTTTGAAGACATCATCAATAACATTTTCTTTACAGGTAGAGTTAATGTAAAGACATTATCAAAAAGACATAAACAACAAGCAAGGAAAAATGACAGGAGACATCAGGTGATTATCTGTCTAATGATTGAAGTCTTCTAACACCTGTCCAAAGACAAAAGACAGCAATACTGTGGTGTCTGTCATCTATTGGAAGGGCATTTTTTATGAGTTAATTACCGAGTGAATATGGTTGGGTAGTCAGAATATATATAAATGTATTCTGGCACGTAAGTCATAGAAAATCATCTCCAGAAGCATGTGGTTTATCTGATACAGTCACTAGTCCATCGTATATATAAATGGACTCAATTTCTTCTTAATCAATACCAAAATCATGGCCAAGGATCCTGCTATTTGATATGTGGCATGCCCTTGTTAAGAACTTTCAACTAGTTCAAATGAATGACTTTGACCTACTGCCAAGGTCACAGGGGTCAATTTTTTTTCAAAATCTTCACTCAAATGTTCTGTCCTACCTGGAATGTTTCATTGGGTAAGAGTGTAAGGAGTGACTCTACTTTCAAGTTTAAGAGCTCATCAAACAAGTTATATTCCAAGCAATCAACTTATGCAAAAATGATAATAATGAACATATCATGATTCATAAAAGGGAAATCAGAAAAAAACAAAACAAAAATGATAATAATGAACATATCATGATTCATAAAAGGGAAATCAGAAAAAAACGAAAGACAGAAATGTAATGGTCATTATTCTTAGGTAAGGCATTCATGACAATATTGCATTAGACCTAGCAAGCCAACATACATGGACATATTCAACCAGTATTTTACAAGTTATCTTAGAGTGCATTATTATATTGAACAATTTTCATCTCTCATCTTAGGCCCAACAAGTAAGAAAGCAAAAGAGAGATGAGGTATTGGAGAAGAAAAGGAACAGAGGAAGTCAAGGTTCACCTCCACATTTTGTGGTAAGGAATTTGTCCTGTTTCAGCAGTATGTGAAGTGTAGAATATATTTGCTTTCATTCTTAAATATCTTGAATAAGGTAGAGAAATTCTTCTCCTGTGCAAATTCTAAAGAGTCAAAAGAGGAGGCGATGGGATATCCCGTTCTGGCATTCTGCATCTCCTAAGTTCTGTTTAACATTTGTTTACTAAGTTAAGTGATCTTGTTACACGAGACTACGGAAATGTTTATATTTTAATTATTGTAGGTGATATTGCCACTCCACAAAGACATTGACTGTGATGCTGTTCTCCAATTGTTAAAAAATTGTGATGAAACAGCAGTGGTTTCTCAAAATGAACAAGGCATCTGTCATATCAGGTAAAGTAAGGACATTGTTGCAGGAGAAATCGTTAAAGTTATCTTCTTGTAAAGAAGCATTTCACAAATTAGCAGTAAACCTTAATTATGAGGAGCCTTTGTATATGATTGTCATGTTGCTATATCATTCACTGGCAAGGAATTTTCCTAACATAATACCTATCTAAATAAGTTATTTATTCACTATATATATATATTCACTATGTATAGCTCTTTAGAATGGATACACTCTATCACTACCATTGAACATTGACCATTGCTAGAATAAAATTGCTTGAAGTAAAACTGTTCAAAGTATATATAGTAGTTGTGATTTGTACATGTACTGTGTATATTTTATAACTTTGACAACACAATATACTGTCTCCATGGAAATGTGCATTGCCATGGAAAAGTTATAGACAGCCTTCTTTAGATATTATAGTTACTGCATTTATACTTCAGTGTACCAAGATTTAAACAACGATTGTCATTCTTCATACCGGAGTATGGTAATCTACATGCCATCCTTGATGCAGCCAAAGTTGCAGACTCTTTGTTGTGTCTTCTGTCACCAGAGGGAGCTGTAGACAGTGTCGGAGAATATTGTATCTCATGTCTTTACGCTCAGGGACTTCCTGCTGTAACATTTGGTGTTCAAGTGTGTATTAGTTTTTAGTTCTATCAAAATTATATTAAGAGCCTTGTTATTCATCTTAAATGTTTATTAGGATTTACAATAATAAACAGGGTAAAAACTAGTGTCACTTGATAAAACCACATTTTTTAAATTTCCATTATCTGAACCAAAGTGTGCTGTGAAACTCAACACAGGAAAAGATATTGACCAATCACCAGTAAAGATAATTGTGGATGTTAATTTCAGGGTCTGAAGACTTTGAATATCAAAAAGCAAAATGAAGCAAAGAAAAGGATACAAAGACACATCGACAAAAGGTATTGAACTTCAGATACCTTGATAAAGAGATTACTGATAATGTTTATTGAATGTTAGTTAGATACTAACATTGTTTGAATGATGCAGAAGATCATTTGATCTTGACACCAAAACTTAATTTAATTACTTAATTTTCAAATCACATCACAAAAGAGGATTCAATTAATTTTGTCTTTGATTGGGGTCATAACTGTGACATGAAATATTGAATAATGATTGAATAACTCTTTTATGCCACCTGGTTTTGGTCTTCATGTAGCCCTTTTGTTGGTATAATGTACCAATAATAAAATAACTGCTTTGAAGACATGAAAAATCCAAACCAACTAATCTGAAAAAATTATATCTTATATGAGAAATTCATTACCATATCAGTTGTCTCCTTTTATCATGTAGTGTATTTGAATACTTTGTATTGATAGTTAAAATGTTTCCCTGCTTTGTCAGGTTTCCTACCGAGAAGTTTCATGCTATAGACTCAACACAGGATGCTTTACTTGTGCTGCGGAGAATCACTAACCACAAGCTGCCCACAGTCTTCTTCAGGGATAATAGGCCACATCTCTTAGCTGAAAATATTGAGTTTGAAATTGAGGGCGAAGAGGTAGTTAATTTATCAAATAAGAACAGTGTGTATTTAAATTTTGAATAATAACATTGACTCCAACAGGTTAGATGTACTTATAGTCCTTATTAAAGGTAAAACATCTTATGAAATAAATATGAGAAATTTAATTATGTGAATGGTCAATTATCATGTTTGATGAAAATCTCCATGATTCTTGTTGTTATTACGTAAAATGTTATAGCAAAGGTCTATGTAAATGATTTCTACTCCATTTCTACCCCAAGACTCCATAAGGGAGTCCATTGATTCATTGTTTGATTCCTGGAATTTTACTTCTAACAATATTATTCATTTAGTTATCTGGATGGTATTCCATAAAGTTGTAAGTCCAGGTGTGAAATAGATATATTACTGGGATAGCCTTCAAGTGTATGGTTTGTTGTCATGATGTAGATGCTCTGTTTGAAGTATAATTAAGCAAATAACTTTATAACCATTATGTCTACTTATAGTGCTTTCTTCTTTAGAGTGAGGTCGGGACATTAAAGATGTCAGGATATTTGAGAGGGCGGTCACTGTCTGCTAACGCTCTTGTACACTTGCCAGGATGGGGTGACTTTCAGATGTTACAGATAGATGCACCTAATGACCCTCACTCCTTCAATCAGAAATTGGTCAAAGATTCACAGAAACAAAGTCTGGTAAGTCTCGTATACGTAAGAATTTATATTATAATTATGGGAGAACTCATGTGTTCATAGAGGTAAAGAAAAGCGTGAATCCTTGATTAACATAGATTAGAAAAATGAAACTCCACTTATCTTACTGTTAAATTTCTTTCATTGTTATTAGAATGTGTCTATATTCACTTTTTTTCTGTGAAATCTGATTAGAATAGTTATATTTATGTCCAGACTTGTGCATTTAAGATGCTTCCTTTGGTTTTTATTACCAGGATATAGAAATGGAGGGAGAAAAGGAGGAAGTTAGGACTCTGGAGAAGGCTGATCCTCGACGCCAGGAGTCTCTACAGAGTGAGGTAATCCCAGACCCAATGGAAGGTGAACAGACATGGCCCACAGATGCAGAGCTGGAAGAAGGTAAAGTAATTAAAATCTTGTCAAATCCAATTTCTGGCATGTTCATGCTATGTTTACTTTTAAAATGTTTACCTATTCAGAATTTATATAACAAAACATTCAATGCTACTTTTGACTGAATTAAAGTGTCTAAATTACTAGTTGATCTGAACACCATACAATGATTCCAAAGGAGACTGGATAATCTACTACTAAGTTCTGGAGTATAACTTATTTCGGGATCAATTGATAAACAAAATATTTACTGTTACTTAGGTAGTTATTCTAAAGCTATTGTACTTTCATTATTCCTAATTAAGTTATTATTTTTGCATTTCAGCTGAAAAACAATCTAAAAAGAAGATTATGAAGAAAGTTCCAAAAGGCACATCAGAATATCAGTCTGCCTGGATAGTAGACGACGATGAAGATCATAAGGTCAGTCAGTATATGTACTAAGTATTTTGAAGAAAAGTTAGTCCTATATTTTTTAACTGTGTATATTTGTATGTTAGGTCTGTTATATTATTTGCTCCTGTTGTGGTACAAAATTGTCCAAATATTCATGATACCAACCAGCGTAAATGCTGCAGGCAGCACAGAATTTTTCCATAAAAAGTGAACTCACCTGTGCCAGATGTGTAAAGCTCAAAGTGCACAGTCTCAGGAATTCATGTCCAACCAAAAACAATATGGCAGTGATTAGATACCTTCAATTTTATTCTGTATATGATTTCATAACATTTTCTGAAATATGTACCTGCACCAACCTTGTTTAATGTAAAAATCTGAAAACAAATCACCAGGTATCAGTCTGTTAGTTTCAGACTGATACAAATGTCTGTGTCTGGTGTTTGATTTGCAGGTTTAGCTGTTCCAACCATTCAAACCGCTTAAGCGAAAGCACCCTTAGAAAGAATTTTTGATAATTTAGGTAAAGTTCCCATAGAGTAAGTTAGATATCAGGAAAGTGAAATGGTATATCTTTGTTGATAAGGGATGTAATGTGTCTTTATTTGAAAAGGGAGCATCAAAGGAAAATCTTGATGAAAGTGATGATGAAGATGAAGATGAGGATGAAGATGACATAGATATGGAGGCAGAGGAGGAAGAAGACTCTGATAACGATGAAAAGTCTGGTGATGAAGAGTTTGAAACTGTAAGTTCTGACGGGAAAATATATATCTTTAAATTTCTGTCAGCATTCATACTATACAACCTACTGTGATGATATTTGTCAGTCCATGTTATACCACAATTTTTTCACTATCAAAGAAATTGTCGAGAAAGATCCTATCTGCTTATGTCACAACTGTACTAATGTGGTTAGCAGCACTTGTTTGGTGGGCCTAACAAAAGTTATTTGTTTTATATGCAGTTAACTATGACTGAAAATAATGATGCTGAGAGATATGATGAAAACATGGACATGGATGAAGAGAGAGCAATGTAAGTAGCATTTGTGATATACTATTTCACCACTAATTGTTGTCTGTTGTATGAAATATGCACACACACACACACACGCACACTCATACGCACGCACGCACACACGCACGCATGCGCACACACACACGCACACCAACACCACCACTCACACTTACACACACTTACACAAACAATAATATTTTAGAATTCTGCTATTCTAGACTTAGTAGAAATCATTTCTTTGGGATGATGATGAGAACATATACTTAAGAAAGGGCTCCACTTTCAGGGGAGTTTATTTTTCTTAATTCTTTGGATACTGTTAGTACTCAAATTGCTATGTTGAGAAACTAATGTTAATAATAAGTAATAATAATAAGTAAATAATGGATGCAGGCAAAACAAATGCCTCTATATCCATATCTAAAGTTATATGGAAAATAGGGTAACTCACAGGGGACTGAGATGAAGTCATAACGGGTCACTGAGTGAAATACAAGCTTTTGTTTCCATGACTCAGACATTGTCGATCAGATTATTATCTTATATGATAGTAATCATCAATGGATCGTGAAGGGGTAAGATTCAGGTTGAACTAAGTGACAGGTTTAACCTTTATCTCTCACCAGACACGACCAAGTTTAATTTTCATGAATCTTAAAATTGATTGAAAATTGCACATGTAAGTTACTTTACGTTAGTAATTTATACAAGTTTCTTACTGCAACATGAATGATTCCTCTGAAAATCTTCATTAAAAAAGATGTCCTGATTTCACCACCTGCCATTGCCTGTCATTCATTTATTTGTTTTATTTAATTGCCTTTTTCATGACAACCCAGGTTTGAGAAGATGAAAGAGGAGAAACTACATGTGATGTTCCCTGATGAGGTTGACACACCATTGGAAAAGGTGGCAAGACAAAGGTTTGCAAGGTAAAAAGACACCAAACCATGATCAATCATTGTGAATTATTGTTATTCAATCTAAATTATGCTGGTTTCAGCTGTGAGAAGGGGACATTAAGGAAACACTTAATTATCTTAATTTCATTGTAATTCATGTAATTAGTAAGTTGATTTATTAAGTTTATAATCAAAATGGAGAGTATAGGCAAATCAACACTTAAAATGACAGAGCATGCTTCATGTCTGCACCTCATTCTTTTCTATAGATGATAGTACAGGGGCTAGTGTCTTGTATGCCATTTTTGACATTAAAGTTGTATTACTTTAAAAAAATGTTTTAACAATGTTCTCCAATTAAATGTTTGAACAAAAGGGATTTTATTGCTCACTATTGATACTACATCTAAAACAGATCTTTTCTTTTCTCTCTTTCTTTGTTCTGATCATATACAGGGAGAACAAGGTGTAAAGTTTGAGAAAGCTTGCATTATTTCTTCAATTTGCGACATATAGAGATAGCATGTCAAAATCCAAGACTAATGCTAGTAAGCCGTCCCCCTCCTAATCAGTCTAAAATGTGACCAGACATGGCACAATATTTAAGAAATCACCAGTAAGCAATTTCCAAGAAACAGCATTTAGCAATAACAAACTTGAATCAACAAAATCCCAAATAGTCGCCTGTTAGCCTCTATGATCAGTCTCAAAATTTAATTAATACTGAGAGAAATCCATGGAATAATGACAAAGTAATATGAAAAAAATTGTTGAAGAGCGAATTGATGGACAACTGTTTAATGATGAGGAAGGATTTGAACAGCCCATCACCTGATTGTGGGCTAGAAAGCAATATTTTGGAATGTGTTATAAAGATGTTATCAATTCTTCTCAATCCAGGTACCGTGGCTTAAAGAGCTTTAGGACTACCTTATGGGATCCTAAAGAGAACCTGCCTTTGGATTATGCGAGGATATTTCAGTTTGGAAATTTCAAGAAGACGAAGAAGAGGGTCTTAATGGATGACAGTGATGGTGGGGCATTGGTAAGCATTTTCAATACGTTGCAGGATTGACTACAACACTTGTACAAATAATTTGTACCCAAACACAAATAATGAAAACAGTGAAATTAACAGTTGATTTAATGTATTTTTCAGACTGGTTGGTATATCACAGTGCATATAGCAAATGTTCCTAGGGAATATATGGGTAAGTAAACCTTTCTTTCAATCACTGATTTTTGCAGGTATTGCCATATTGCCTGGAATTATCATCTGTATCATTGTGTAGAAATAATATACAAGTAATTCAATATTTTTCAAATTTTCAGATATTAAAAATTAATTGATTATAAAATGTTATGTAAATTTTGTAGAGTAGTATGATTGAATGTTTATACAGTCTTGTCTGTAATTTAATTGAAAAAAAAAATTAGTTTGTATTCAAAATCATTTACTTACAGTGTTTATATTTCCTTAAAAGGCTTTTTCATTCAAAATATTTGTCCTTAAGCATCTATGTGGTAATCTTTCCCTTCTTTAGTGAAAATGTTGTGTACATTATGATAGACATTTCCTGGCATACATTGCAATATTTATATAGTAATAAGGCATTGCCTAGTCATATATATGTACAAACCAATGCTGTTTCCAAGTCCTGTAATAAGTATTTTTTGTAATACTGCATTTCAGAATCCTATAAACCAGGAACTCCATTGGTGGTGTTTGGACTGTTACAACACGAACAGAAAATGTCCGTCTGCAACTTTGTAATCAAGCGTTGTGGAGAAACACAATTTCCCATCAAGTCCAAAGAGAGGCTCATATTTCATGCAGGTTTTCGCAGGTTCTCCGCATGTCCGATATTTTCACAGCATACAAATGGAAATAAACACAAGGTAGATAAGTCTGTTATCACTGTTTTGTACTTCATGAAATGTAAACAGCAAAGTGACTATAAGCTCATTGCCTCTTAAACCCCAATGACCACTTTTTTAAGTCACTATCCTATGTGGTAAATTTTAAAATATGAACAAAATCTGTTTTGAGGCTGAAGATATGACATATGACTTGGGTAACACAATACAACCCCCTCCCCCATAAAAAGGGTGGAGGTATAACATCTTTTCCCCATTTTTGTTTCTCAATTATCTGTCAAGAGTCAAACTTTTTTTTTCTTAAAGGTAAGTTTTACAATGGCTTGCTGTAATTTAGTAAGCCATAGTAAAACTTGTGCATACATGTGAGTGATCTGTTCAGGTTCACTGTCTGCCCAATACAACTGCTGAAAAATAAACCTATATACTATAACTATGCTCGTAAGCCTCCTCTGATTTTACTTGCATGTTTCCCATTTCCTGGACATGAAACTACCTTAAGAATTTATTAAAATTAGCTTCACTATTCAATATTACACCTTTGCCTTCCAGTTTGAAAGATTTCTGAACCAAGATGTAGCTACCATGGCGACAATCTATGGCCCAATTGTGTTCCCTCCTTCTCCGGTACTGGTATTTAAAGAGATGGGAACAGGTAAGACTTGTTATTTTGTGTGTCTCTGTAACATGGTTGATGTATGCACCTGTCACCAATGCAACCAGAGATAAGTTGTCCAGTTGGATATATAAAGTTACCTGCTGGACAAGGTGAATTTTCCATGGTTTTCTCCCTTATTGAGATTGCTATTCATGTCCGTCAAGGTTGTCAAGAGGGCTTGTAGATATTTAAAGTTAATGTAACTTATTTCATGACTGTGATATAATAGGTTGTTTGTAGTTATATCCATGTAATGTCCATTAGACTTTTTAAGTGATGTCTATTTAAAGGAGCACACTGAACAAATGAAAAAATTTTCACACATCATCTGTATACCAATCTCACTGTAAAACTTCATTTTTGTGAGCTATAGAGATATAAATTGTAGACAACCAACAAACACTGTCATTGATTTTAACATTTTAGGAACACATGAGTTGGTAGCTACAGGTTCCTTGTCGTCAGTGAACCCTGACCGTGTGGTAGTGAAGCGTGTCGTACTCAGTGGATACCCATTCAAGATCAACAAACGGTCAGCTGTCATCAGATACATGTTCTTCAACACAGGTTAGTGGCAGCACAGCCTCATGTGAGACTTGTTTAATTGCCTAAAAAATCTTCAGCTCACCAACCTAAAGGGCAAGTGAGCTTATGCAGCATCTGCTGTCAGTACGCCTTCTTTTCAACTAGTACTTATAATTACAACTATTTATAGGTCTTAGGTTACCAAGGTTATTTTCAGCATAATCTGACAATGTCTCAATTTTGACCAACCAGAAGCATCCATTATGTAGCCATAGTAACAGTTCAGGAAACACCTGGCCTAAGTTGTTCAAAGGCAGGATCGAGATAATCAGTGATTAGTAAACATTTCACTGCTGAAGATTTGTCTGAACAGATCTGATTGTTTTGTTTTTAATTTTAATACCCATGTATTTTCAGTGGCAAAAATCGGAATTTTTCACTAATCACTGATAAACTCACCTTTGAACATATGGGGTCAGATGTGTCAAACTATAGGCTTTGATAAGTTATTCTATTTGATCAAGAAATTCTTTTAGTTTTGATAGCAAAAGGGCCCAACATGGAGATATTTTTCTAGAATCATGCTGGAATTAAGGGCTATCAAATTTATACAAATGAATAACCTGAACCAACTTTGCAGGGCACAGGAGTGGAGTTGTCCTGAATAACAAAAACATAAAGGGGCATGATTCATATTTTCAATTGCATGCTGGGATAAAGGGATATACATTTTTAGAAATGAATGTCATTGACTTACTTTCACAATGGTCAAATGTATAACCAAGGAACTAAAATTATATTTCAACTACATCATACTTGAAAATAGGAATAGAAAATTTGTGATAAATAAGATGTTGCCAGATTAAACTCTTTTTCTTATTTAGACCTATGGACCTCTCCCTGGAAATAGCTTTGAGTATTGTGAAAAGAATTTCAAAGTATGAAGTCTGGAAATTCCAATCAAATGTGAAAATGGTTGTTTTTACTTAATTTGGTCACTAATATGTGAATATGCAGAGGATAAATTTCTACCATGTTCTTTTTCTAGTAGACATCGATAAATTTTCTGAAGCAATTCACAAATTTTATTCTTAATTCTGTTTCAGAGGACATAATGTGGTTTAAACCAGTGGAACTGCGGACAAAGTGGGGAAGAAGAGGAAATATCCGTGATAGCCTTGGTATGTGTCCATCACTGAAACTGAAATAATTTCCTTGTGAGCAGGTGCTTCACTAAACCTGTGATTTTTGATAATTCTTTTTTTTTTTTTGCTATTTTCCAGGCGCGAACTAAATCATGAAAAAAAAGAAACAATGAAAACAAAATTAAAAAAGAAATCTTGCCTGGTTAATGACTTTCATGACAAAGATATTCTGTTGGTTGAAAAGCTTTTTGGTTAAACCATGATAATTGTAACTAATGTAAATCACTAGCTTTTGCTGTAGTGGTAAATATCATGTCCATGATAATAGTATTTAAATTATCTAGGTATATGTAATATCAAAATTGATTTGTCGTAAAGTTGAACCTCATTTTACCCAGCCAATTTGGAAATAATATCAAAGTTTAATTTCATATACAGGTTTTCTCCATATTTAATTCTGATTATGTACTTAATTCTACTCTTTAGGAACCCACGGCCACATGAAGTGCGTGTTCGATGGTCAGCTCAAGTCACAGGATACAGTACTGATGAACTTATACAAACGTGTGTTCCCAAAATGGACATATAATCCATACATTCGCAATCCCCCTGCAATCTGTGATACTGGTGATGATGATGAGGAGGAGGATGGAGAAGACATGCAAGCTTACCAGATGTTTGAATGAGAGACATGCTGTGAAACACAATAACATTTCGTGTTAATGAGACAGGCAGATCTCATTCAGAAAAAATTAATTTTACATTCTTTTGAGGCTTTATAAAATTCTTTTCTTTGAACTTGATACCCAATTGTAGAGTTTTTTTTCCAAGTGGATTTATTAAAGAAATTTCAAAATATTGTCCATCACAACAATATCAAAATTTACCATTATGTAGACTTTAAAATATTGGCATTAGAACAGAAGATAGCTATTGATTAACTGCTGTATGAAACCTGTTGCGTATACTGCCACAAAATGAAATGTGAATGTTATACACCGTGGTACTATAAATACAATTTTAACCGATTCTTAATGTATTGTTTTTAATTTTTATATTTATTGATATATCATTACAATATGGGTGGACAATTGAGTCTTGTGACTTTGATCACCTTTGCTGGTGTCAGGTGTTAAAAACACATTGAATCAAGTTAAACGTTGTGGTCTACAGTAATATTAGATCTATTCCAGAATTTCCTGTATGTAATGAGTATAGTTGGTTTTCACTTATATATACTTACAAGCTAAGAGTTATTCCAAAATTATCTATGTGGGATTAGTGGGAGACACTTTATCGAAAATTGATGTGTGTTAGGTGTAAGCACTATTTTTCTAGCATTCCTTACTCTAAATGTGTTTGATATTTGATTAATGGTTTGGTCTCTGAAAAAATGTCTCCTGCATAGTCTTAACCAAAGTTAGCATGTATGTATTGGATAAACCCTATACAAGAATGAATACATGACACAGATTAAATGATGAGGCTAAATCTTTATTTTTAGTACAAATTAAAATCCATAGTGCCTTTCACACTATGTATTTAGAATGATTGATATTTACAAAATATGATTTCATAATAATATAATTAATGTTTGACCACAAAAGGACTCCAATATTTTTTACAGACCATTTGTCAATATATCTGAATTGATCTCAAAATGATGTTTATTCTCTGATGTAAAGATAATCAATCACACACCTGATGTACCCTATATATGTTACAGAAAGGTACCTGAAACTATTCACTGAATATTGGGGAGAAAACTTGTCTTAACAAAAATGTTTTTCATTAAACATTTTACTGATCCTGAATTGCTGTCTTACAGGAATCAATACCAAAACATATCCTCTTACATAGAATCTTATGTTCAGTTCATTACAGAGAATTAAGATTGTCTGTTGATGTCAGGGAGATTCTTTCATCTGTTGATCAAACATCTCGCCTAAAACATTCATACTGTCAGAGAATCTCAGCTCGTTCATGAATCCAGCATCACGCCATCTGGAATACAGCAGAAAATTTCTTCATTATCAACATTCAGATTTCATGTCAATTAATAATTCTAATATATACAATATTTTAAGATCTTGTCTGCAGTTATGTAAATTGAAAAGATTAAGGTCAGGATAAATTCCTAATGACACCAGAGACAATAAACAAGTAGTTAAAAACATTTTTACTCAGTTCGTCTTTCCATTATAAGTAGCAGACACCTGATATTCCAAACTGAAGAAGAGATGGATATTTCATTTCAAAGAAGGATCACAAACATGCATAATTATGATGTCATTAACCTGGGAAATCCAAGCTAATGTTTGATAGAGGTGTAGTGACCTGACATTGTACTTACGACTGTCGCACCATTTTCCATCGCTCCATGTGGCCAAGTAACAAGTGTTCAGGGGGTGGGGCCGTATCTTGGTCCTGTCAAGTCAAACATATCATTTTAGACGAATGTTCCCACAGTTTGTACTGAAGATAAAGGCAACATTATAGACCATATATTAATCAAATTATGAGTTGTTCAGACACTAAGTGCTTTTAGTCTGCTACAAAGAGTTGGAGTGAATATACAAATATATCATGCAGATCTGCAATGTATTTATTTCATCACAATTTGCTGAGATAGTGTGGATTTAATACATATCATGATCCATTTTTTTCATAGGTCACAACACCTGAGGCAAATATATGAAAATATCTGTCCCTAACAACAACAGGTATTTTGTTAAACAATCTCACAGCATTGATGTCCAGTTCCTCTTCAGGCTGGGTTACTGGCATTGGAATACGATAATCCTGCTGGATGTCAGGATCCGCTTTGATAGGGTCTGGTAGTTTGAACACATCAGGGAATATATCCTCCTTTAAAAATAATGTATATAAATAAAGCCGCTTGTAAGAAATTGAGGCTGTGAGAAAATAAGATATTACTACCTAAACTCCGCCTTTTATTTTTTAAAAATAACCAACTGTTAAATCAAGCAGTCATTTTCATATTTTTGAGTTTGAAAATACACCAATTACCACTTTGAACATGCTATGCAGAATTTGAGTATAAATAACTTCTAGGAAGTAAGGCTGTCAGGAAAAAGGATAATTATCATAAAATTATGTTTACCTCCTCCTCACTGTTTGTGGGTGGTTCTGGCTCAGGTGTTGGTGTTCTTTCCCTTGTACCGAGAGATCTGTTGTGGGGCTGGTTTTTCAGCCAGGCCCTACATACAGGATAAAGTGCAGCTTCCTCATCAAACTGAGCCAGATCTACACTGCGATCAAACAGCTTCATCACATAGGTATCTGCGGTGAACATAAATCAAAGCAGATATCATTTTCAGATTTGCTTAAAGTGAAAAAAAAACTTTTAACATAAAGAAAATAGTTTCCATTTGTTACACACAATTTTTTCTTTGACATGTAACAAATCTGATTTGAATGATAGGTTTGATCAGATTCAGATTTATATACCAATATTATGAAAACTCTAGATAGTAACAGAGAAATACAGAATATGTAAGCAGAGAGCACTCCATCATATTACTTTGTTCTCCTGGATATTTAGAAAATTATATGACGAGATAAATGTGTCAATAATAATTTTTTGGCCTGTATATCAATAAAAAAGGAATATTCATAATGAAATACATAACATTCTTTCACAACAACCAAATATATTTTCTGTCTTGTTCCTACATACGATGATATTGGCTTCCATCCATTGAATCATCATCTTTTCTTTTCCTTTTTCGGCTGATTTTGGCTGTACTGCGCTTAGTAGGTGACAGAATGATGGCAGGTTCACTGTAGTAAAAATAAATGGATAAATATTGAATAGGGCAAAAGTTTTCATCACAAGTAGTTGGCTTTTCCTGTTTGTTGTAGACAGAAGCTTCTTTTGAACCATGACAAGATATTTCTTACAAAATCAAATAATTTATAATTGTTTGTAGTAAACAAAAGTTGTAGTTAAGTTGCAAAAGATTAAAACCCTATCAATTATACAAATGAAACAGGAAATGTTGATCAACATCATTCAGATGATGGTTACTTTCATTATTTATTTCATGACTTAAAGCATATACCTCTGCAGCATTTCTGCTTGAGTACTTCCATCATCTTCATCACTTGATATATTTCTGAAAACATTTATAACACAATAAATAATGTCACTAATGAAATCCGTGGACTTATACATCTTATTTGATTTGATCCATGTATATCCTAATAATGTTGTTTTGCTACATCTTACATCATTTTTTCTACATAAAACTTTTGATTATCTCTCTTTACAACATAATTTGTGATTTCCATGGTGATACATGTATAATGCATGTATAGAACACTAAATTATAGAGAGCATAACTTACCCATCACCTTTTTTGTCAACTAAACTTTGTAGGGTAACACCAAACCGGATCCTGGCAGATGTGACTTCGGCTTGAAATAACAGAAATATACTCATGCATTGTAAATTATTTTATTTTAAATCCGAGAATGAATGTGCACATGTAATGGAGTTATGTGCTGTCCAGTTTATTTGATAAAGCTTTATTAAACTCCAACAACATTACAATTTTATCATTTTACATTGGGACAAAGGTAGGATAAAGCAAGGTATTAATATCATTAATAAATATAATTAACCATTTACAGCTCTTCAATGGTCAAACGGTAGAATCATACATGTGAGCGAGTCTATTTTCAGAATTGTCTCAACTCTTTATGACAAATTGATTATGCTTTAATTAATAATATGTGTAACAAGAGTAATGATTTATTAAGCTGTGTAAACATCAAGCAAGTTCAACAGGTTGGGCACAACTCCGCAAGTTAGTAATAGTCCTGTATTTGAGGGATATTTACTGCTTTGAGTACTCAATCTGTTACTCAAAAGTCAGAGCCTTTGAAATGGAAACATATGAAAGCTGTTTGAAACATTTGCAACAAAAAGTGCATGAATATTACCCCAACTGACTTAAACACAACGTGTATCTAATTTCGTGATTACGCGTATGAAGGGCTGTGCTCAATCTTGTTAAAACAATATACTTCCAAACGTCCAAGTTCATACAGTTTATCAAATTTGTTTCGGTCTTATTTGCACACAAATGGGTGGAGATAATTTTATTATATGAGAGCAAAGGATGTGTTGGAGCACAAGTGTATATGATCACAAATGAGAGAACCTCCTAAATCCGAACCTATTCATAGATCTACAAATGTTTTTTCTTGTTTTCCTCTCTCTACGTCTGGAGCAACTGGACATGCAGTGATCTGTGTTTGAGATTAAGTTCAAAACATGGAGTACCCTTAGCATGCTGATCATTACCAACTTTAGACTTTCCCGACATGCTGTATGCAGTACGTGTTTGGAAAGGCCTATGCAATACCCAAACCGTGCGCTTGTCCACGGGTCCCAGTTTACTTCAGATTTTCCGCCATTGTTGGTTTGTTCCAAAGACTCTTGTTATGTGGAATGTGATTCGCTGTTGACCGACTGCTATTTTGTTACATATAATTTGATTGGACTATGCATTACACAGGAAATGGAATTATGCGGAGGTAAACATTGATCGACGAAGATGAACATTGCGAAAAAACGACCATGAATGAAGATACAAATGAGGGAAAGTATGTGGAAATCTGGATATATGTTAGCAATTTAACTTTTTATACGTCTTTGGTGAAATGTACCATACAACCATTTCGCACGATATTTTGTAAATATTTTTTTTTATTTCGACACCTCGACCACAAGTGTCAGTGATCTATAGACGTGTAATTATTCTATTTATTGTTTTAGTTTGATGTTGGTTGAACATTGAATTATTGAAGAATTTTGAAGGAATATCGGAACTGTAATCATCATTAACATCATCATCATAACATCATCATCATCATGATCATCATCATAATCATCATCATTATAATCATTTTTTTTTTATTGAAAATGATGTAATATTCAAATCATTAGTGAAAATCAATTTTACTTAAAATCAGTTATGTTATCAATATTTGAAAATTGAAATTAATCATAGAGACAAGTTTTTACTGTCTGCATATATGTTCATGATATATTAGATGTACTTCAATAATAATTATCTTCACAAGATCTAATGCTGATCAATTTATTATTTTTCATGTTTACTGATCAGTTAAGTAGGTGGTCCGTGTGGTGTTGTTTGTAGTGTGAAATATTGACAGGGTCTTGTCTGCCAACGATGTGCCCTCTTCATGCTGTTGTTAGATATCTAATCTTATCTGCCCTATTCATAGTTTGTGTTGATTTAGCACTGACTGGCCTGACCAGAGCAAATTTGTTAGCCAGTGAGAGATGAGTCTCGTATTCATAACAAAAATGATACTAATAAATTAAAGTGACGTATCAAAAACCTTACATGAGTCAATCAGAAAATTTCTCAGATTTTCCATGTGTATAAAGATTATCATGTTTTTATTATGCAGTAAAAGAGGTACACAATGTACAATTTCAGCTGTAGATAGCATAAATGTGAAAATTGTTTTGTAAATGTTCTATTTTTGTTTTTTGTTTTTTTAACAGGAAAATAGAAAATTGTGCATTATATGTAGATGTGAAACCTTCTCAATGGCCTATTATCTACTCACCTGAATATAACATTGGATTCTTGGGCCTGGAAAAGCTTCATCCATTTGATGCTGGAAAATGGGGAAAAGTATACCAATTTTTAAAAGGTATATAATGCTACAATATAATTATTTAAATTTGATACAATCATTCGTTGTTGATGGACTATAAAAAATTATAGGTATAAAAGCAAATGGAAAAAAAAAAACAAACAAAACATAATAATTTTTTGTCATTTTTAGCTCGAGACAAAAAGACGAAAATGGCTTGCTAGAGGCTCACCACTTCTGTTTTTCTTCACCTTAACCAAAATACAGCTTATGTTTTAAGACACCAACCATGTATTCTCTATTTATGGTAATTTGTAAGATTGTACAATGTTAACTATGATTGAAATAATTCTTTGCAGGTTAATGAATTTGCTGACATAAACATGCTAAAAGACACATGTATGTTTATATGGAAAATTTTAGGAATAAACTTATATCTTGGATATATTTCTACAATGTATTAGAATCTCTCTAAACAGATTTCTGAAATTTCTTGATTTTATGGTGTTGCTACTTACATTTGTATTTTTCGACTACAGACCATGGAATGATCAGAGATGACACAACAGTTAGGCCACGAGAGGCTTCTGAAGAAGACTTATTGGTCGTTCACACCAAACAGTACATCAACGATCTCAAAGTAAGACATCTGCCATATTGTAAATGAACTCAGAGTGATCAAAGAGGGTCTTGTTTCATTATCATTGTTATCACAGTGATCTTGTCATGTCTTGCTTCATCTCAAATTTATGTACAGTATTTTCTTTGTAGGTTAACAGTCAGGTCGTGATCACTGTATTAATTATTTTCATACAGCATTATTAACATTCATTTGCCAATGCAAGCTTCTGCCACAATGGTACTCGCCTTAACAATGTTAATTCATGATAACTCTGATTTGTCCTGAATACTAAAATTTCAGTATTGAGCATCATTGGGTCAAGGGAAGTATTGGTGTTTTATAAATGATATGGAGAATATGTAATATGGCTATATACAGACTATCTACATCTACTTTGAAGGTGTGTGGGTGGTGAAACTAGCAGATATAGAGGATATAATTATATTGGTAACAGGACCAAGTCTTACCTCTTTCATCACAAGGAAAATCCCTAAGTTGTAACAATAGAATCAGTGTTTTGTAAATAGAGGATATATATGGTGATCCACTGGAAATTTGATGCGTTATTTGAAATGATGCTTGAGCTTAGTTTCTTATCTGTTGAAGTTTCGTTTAGGGGGTTCAAGGGAAATTGTTGGGGACAAAGGGTTGGAGTTTTTTCAGTGACTAATACATCAATTTCAGTGGATTAAAAAGTCATCATTACTAAAATCCTTACGGTGTTTTGTGCATTCTTTCCATCCACAGCTCACTAACATTGTGGAAGGGATAGAGGAGGTACTATTTATCACTCATTCAATCTTACATTCCATGGGCTTCCCTCACACTATTGTGGGAGAGGACCTTGATTCCTTGCTTCACTTTATCTCCCTACTGCCTTCACTCTGCTTGTTTTGTACTATTTGACATGCAGTATATATTAAACTTTGTTGTAGGTGTTATGAAATACAGGGACCAGGCTTGAGAAAACATATCTATAACTATGATAGATTTGATTTTGATTGGATGCTTTCATATTACAATCTTACAAAACTGTTAATCGTTAAAGCAACTTGTCCAAATTTGAAAGTGCTAAGAACAATGGAAAATTTGCAACCTAAATTGAGAAAATTAACATAAATTAACATAAACAGTGATTTAGTCACTATATAACATTATTGATACTATGTATCTAATGTTAGTATTGTTTTGGTAATGAATAGCTGGTGCTTAGTCCCTGTGAATCGAAGAAATAGTACATATACAGTATGGTTTCTGTAGACAGTTTCAAAAGAATATTTTTTACTGCCTGTGGTTAGCACCTGGTAGAAAATAGCACTTTTGAAATTTTTGTTTGGTGTATGTTGTCGTGCTTTATTGGTAGATTAAAATTTTTGCAATTTTACACATATAGATGTACCAGCACTATGTGTTACATGTACCAAATCTACAATACTTTAGAGCACATAGCAGCGTTAAGGTTACCATGTCACAGAAACTTTGAAAAAAATCTGTGTTGTTTACCCATTGGCTGTTAATGCTCCTGGAGCAAGTACGTTCTCTTTGAAAAGCTAGGAAACATTCACTACATTATTTTTGTACTAAGAGTGACCAAGCTACATCTAAAAAGATCATATTATTGAAAATTAGGTTGTTCATGTTCTAAAGTCCAGGAAAATATACTTTCACTTGTGTAACATCAGATAGATATTCTTGAAGACTGTGGATTTTGTTGATGTGACATACTGTGTGATAGTACCATAACTTCATAAACATAGTGTGGGTGACAGGACCATTAGATAAATTAAATTCATCGCACAGTAAACCTATAATAAGCTGAAGTCAATCCATATATTTGTTGTACAGTAGAAATTAAAATTGATATATTGGAAAAAGTCGATGAATAGTGTAAATGTTGTCGTTATCATGCCTTATATGTTTATTGTAGACATCACTGCAGTTTTCCCCATTCTAATACTGCCCTAAGCCTCTAAGCATGTAACTATTGACTTATTGGTATATGTGTATTGTACAATAGTTTAGTAATCTTTTACAGTTGTCTCCCTTTTATGTTAGCTGACCCAAAAGTAATACACATCTGTAACATATGTGACCAGATAATGAGATTACACTCGGATACTGTTATTGAGAAACAGAAATATCTATCATCTTTTCTGTATTGTAAAGGGATTTCAGTAGGTACTTATGCTTATATTGTATGCACAGAATTAATGATTTTGGTAAGTTATTGTTATTTTGGGGCCTTTTTTGTTTTCCTTTGAATCAATCCTGAAAACCATTGAACTTTGTTTTTTGAGATGTAGTTAAATACAATAAAATATAGAGAGAAAAAACCTAGAACACAACTAAGTGAATAAAATATCAGATTCTTATTCTGGATCTCGATTAGAATTATAGATTTTAGTAGGGTATTATATTGATTGTTGTATGCTTGCCCTGCTTGTATGTCCAGTCAGAGTCAGTTCGTCATCAGTCAGTCCTTAGCATGTCATTTTGTGATTGTTATAACAATAATATATAATGGGTACCATTTAATACTAATTCAAAAATGAGTTGAGATGGGGACAATAAATGCACACAATACTCTGTTGTATTGTTGTAACATATCCTCTGAGTTTGTAATTACTGAGTGCAGGTGTAGCATGTTGTCCTGTCTTAAGATTTCTTAATTATTATGCATTCAGTTGGATATTGCATAATGTTAGTTAAGTTTGAAACTGAGATATTCTTCTTTGATGATAATAACTCCAAATGTAGATCTTTATTACTTGTGTTAATTTTAGAAAAATGACTGAAAATAGCCCACTTACCAAATTTCACTTGTCCAACCTAAAATCTGGATACAGGTGAGAGATTGATCTTGTCATTCATTACATAGAAATCATGACAGGCTGGAATAGCAACAATATTTGAAATAATCATTCTATGTTACCACTAACAGTAAGTGTTATGGTGAATGCTTCTTGAATTTAATGTGTTGATAACAATGATCATTAGGTATATACACAGCTCTTTATACCATTCCCCATGAAAATTTCTGATGCCAGATTTTAAAAACTCTGATGTCCCTTTCATCTTAACACAAACAGAATGTGTACTCAACAGTTCCATACTAACATATTAATGTCATTACAATCATGTTATTTTTCAGTACTAAGATTTTTACTTCTTTTCAGTATGTCAAGTCTATACCAAACCCCATGTGCAGTTGAACCCTTGTGTGATGTTATCTCTGTCTAATACATATTCTTGTCTACTACATTTGTACCATTGTACATGTACCAGTATTTTCTCTTGGCTGATCCAGATCCTACCTTCTCTGAAAATCATCATTGTTTTCATTTTATTTATCTATGAGTTTATTTGTTTACTTACTCTGTACATTGTGTTGACTACGACATTTGCATTTTATAATCCATATAGAATTCTGTTTCATCATAATAGCAGGATTTGTCACCTTTCATTGTTAATTATTCATTTATCTTATCTTTTACATCCATATTGAATTTAAACAGTTTATTTATTTATTTATTCATGAAATACATATTCAGACAGGTGTCCAAATGAGGCTGACATTTGGCAGAGTTTACTATTTAATATCCAGCAGTAGATCATTTCTATAAAATACGTGGAGATTTTTATTTCTCTTTATGTTAATCTAGTATCTGTACTTTTTAAACATTTAACTGTTTATGTACACTGTCTATGTAGTTATTGTGACTGTTAAAAGTAATACTTACTTGTGGCATGAGACTAATAAAATGCATTGCACCATACAAACATATATATACTGTAATAGATCCCTATTTGATATGTACAGATCATTACCTAGTACTGAAAATATCATTTCTTATTTATCCTACAATTTGCTGCTTAATATTTTGCACAAACATTTATCACGTATTTGAGTAATAGTCATTTTGAATACTAGCGCTTTAATCAACGGTGATAACTTGTAAAATGATTAGACTTTTTTTTATATATTATATATCATATAGGTGTATCATAAATTAGAAAGTACACATTCATATTCAGACATTAAATTCTGAAAGAAAAATACCTGGTAACTTTTTCCTTTTGATTTCGTCTCTCTTTCATCCCTAACTTGTATGTAAAGATTGAATGAGTGATAGTATTACACCTACAAACTGTTTTAAGTATGTAGAGATATATAATTTACTAGGTTATCTTTTCATTGGTAGTACCCTTCATTTTTAATGTCATAACTCCAAGATACTCGTCTTTTGTGTATGTTTAATGTCTAACCAGGAAAAAATGCAATCATTCTGTAGAAGATCTGTGATGTTCAACTGGCATCTTTTAAATTGTGAGATAAAGTTTATTTGTGTTTGTGAATTTACGAATCAAAATGCCGCAAAGTTATGAGATATGCAGTATAGATCTATCAACTGTGGATTATTGATTTTCTACCTTTATATTTGTATTCACTCTCATACAATGTACATTTCATGTGCACCTTGTATTTGTTTCAAATTGACAATGCATGAGATATTTCAATTTGTGATATCATACTCTTGATTTCCTGTGAAAATGTCATTTATTTTGTGCCTTACTATTGAAAGCCTGATATTCTGAAATTATTTCTGATGCACATGTAAAATACTGTATATATTTCATTTTCTAAACAGGTATATAATGAACTTTGACGTCAAGCTCATTACTTTCAATTCTCATATGGTTGTGTTTGTAGTGGAGTGTCAATGTGGCCAGTATCACAGAGGTGCCTCCTGTTGCCCTCATCCCAAACTTTATTGTCCAGCGGAAGGTTTTACGGCCATTCCGGTACCAAACTGGAGGTACAATATTGGTAAGCACTGAGAAAAAAACAAAGGAAAGAAATATCTTGCCTCAAATCAAAGCATATCTTGCATTAAATAACATGCATTCTCTTGGTCTTTGGGCTTGGCCAGTAGAGTGGAGCTAAGGTTTATGGTTCAATGCTCCCAGTCCTCAGTGCTTTGTGTTCTTCTGGAAGCTGAGAAACAGAATGACCTGTGCTGACATGTCTGTGTCCTTAGGCAAGAAACTTAGCCATGTTGATAGCATGAGACTGGTCTCCTGTATGTTGTTCAGTGAGGTAGCCACCCGCTTACCCCACCTCAAAATGACTCTGGCCGTTCTCTGGCGATAAACCCTGCCAAAATATGTTGATAATTAAGAAAAAAAAACACCTTCTCTGGGGATTTCAGATTTTACCACAGCCTTTGGAAATCAGTGTTGATGATTGGGATCTCCAAGCTTCAAGGGAGTTGTACGGCCTAAAGGTTTTATTGATTTACATAGTTTTAAGTGAATCATCCCAAGAGAAGTTATGGCCTGTCCTTTCTGGGTACTTACTGAAGGGGTCAATGGAAAGATTGGAAGTCCTTAGAACTTCTGTCTGATGAACAGATTGACTTAAAGAAAGGCAATTAATTTTAACCTATTGTCAGAGCCTCTGGAATTTGGTGTTATCTACCAATCCTAGATTTCTGATCGTCAAAAAATCCCAATGAGTTTATCATGCTATCTGGTACCAGGTCTATGCTGTAAATGATGCTACCATTTTTCATGGGGATAGAGTTTTTTTTTATGCTCCCATAAAATATTTTGTTGTTTTTATGCTCCCAAAAAAAGTTTTGTGTGGAGCATATAGTCGCCACCTTGTCTGTCCATCCATTCTTTCATGTCTGAAGCATAACTTCATCTGCAATTAAACTAACATAATGAAACTGAGCATAAACATTGATTATACTAAGGGTATGTGCAGTGTATCAAATTCAGGGACCTTGTTACCTCAGTTACAGTCATTGCTCATTCTACAAAATGTATTGTCCAGAGCATAATTTTGCTTGCATTTATGGTAAGATAATGAAACTTGGTGTATGCATTAACCATACAAAGACAATGTGTAGTTTACAAATGTTAGGTCTCTCAACCCCTTAATTACAGTTATTAACTTTTGGTAAAATTTTGTGTCTGGAGACTTACTTTTTCTACATTTAAACCAGGATATTGAAACATGAAGTAGACATCAGTCATACAAAAGCAAGCTGCAGTGGAGCAAAGTCTGGGCCCATGACCCTGTTGTACAGAGTTATTGCCTTGTGTTAAAATTTGTATCATGAAACTTGGTGTATACATTGGTCACATCAAAAGAATGTGCAATATACCAAATTCAGGGCCTGCAACCCCTTAATTACAGAATTATGGCCCTTTGTTAAAATTTTGTGTCAAATAAATTCGTTTTCGGGGAGCATTCATTTCACTGATACTGTTTAAGACAGAAACATTGTTCATATAATTCATCCTGAGTGTAAATATGACTTATAAGTTAGTTGTCTGTTTGCGTTTCAGGCAGGAAAGCTTGCCATGGACCGTGGATGGTCAGTCAACATTGGTGGTGGATTTCATCACTGTAGCTCAACCCGAGGGGGAGGCTTCTGTGCCTACGCTGACCTGACACTCTCCATCAAATTCTTATTTGATAAGGTTGAGAATGTCTCCAAGGTCATGATTGTTGACCTTGATGCACATCAGGTAAATTATGCAGATACATTGTTTTCTGTTTTGTAAGGTAAACATTTTTGTTAGTATTGTAAATATTCTAATAAAATTGGCTAACATTATGACTAATTTTTAGTGATCAATAGCACCTGAAAATTTTTGTATCAATGAATAACGTGGATAGTTTGTAAACATGACATAATAAAGAAAACTTAATAGCTACAAATTTCTCTTAAAACACTCATTAAATTATATTTTGTATAATTGTTTACTGATATCATAGGTTGGTTTCAGAATTTAATTCCGTTAATTAATAATGATAATCAGAATAAACCTGTTAATAGAAGCACAGAGAGAGGATGAATTTCCACAAGTTAATGAGTTAATGTGTATGTATTAAGGGTAATGGACATGAGAGGGATTTCATGACAGATGACAGAGTCTATATCATGGATGTATACAACAGAGGGATCTATCCACATGATGGATATGCAAAACGTAAGTTTAGCATCTTATCAGGATTTCATATAAATTGAATAAATTGAAAACCCTTTGATTTCTTATGGTTTTTATAAATAGGTTTTTCAGGTAAATTAGGATGAAATCAGGACAAAAAAAAAAACATTTCCTCTGCTGTATTTTTTCTGTTTGTTTGGTTGGGCTTCTTTTGTGTCTAATGATTTCTTTTATCAGTTATGCATTATGCATTCAGAAATTTAAAAAAAACCCATTAATTTGTCTAAATGAATGGACAGTATTTTGTATACAATGTTTACAAAGTTCAGTGTCACCATAGGGTCAAAGGTGAAGTCATATTGTTGTCTAACTATTTATATTAGTGTACTCATGTGAGGACAACATTAGTTTTAAAATGGTGTTAGAAAGAGTAACTTCAGTTTTTCACACTTGATGTTATAGTAATGAAGTGTATTTTATTATTAATACTTGATATTGATGTCATAGGTGCAATCAAAAGAAAAGTTGAACTGCAACATTTTACAGAAGATGTTACATATCTTGGTCTGGTAGATAGGTAGGTATACCTGTTCTGATACAAAAGGAGGTCAATTGAATTACTGATATGTTGATTATAATACAGCTTGAATGGATATGTGAAAATATACCTGTAATTAACCATGAAACAAAAGATATGTAAATGTCAAGGGACTGATATACATCGAAAAAACCAAAAAACTTAAAAAATATTTCAAAATAATTTTGTAATTTTTTTACTATGGTAACATATTAATAATAACGAAACCTTTGAGAGAAGTGTGAGTGAAGTGAGTGAGTGAGATCATTGATTTTGATGTTTTTCAGATAATTGTACCTTTCTTGTTATTTTACTGCAGAATGTCGTGGTATATATGTTTATGTCTACGTTTTATTTTGGTCTGTTACAGAAACATGGACCAGGCTCTAAATGAATTTACACCTGACATCATAGTGTATAATGCAGGGACAGATATCTTGGAGGGGGACCCCCTTGGGAACCTGTCAGTCACTCCAGAGGTACATATGTAGCTACAATCCTTTTCTATAGCTACACCATAATATTTATCAAGACAAAAACATCAATATTGTTTCACTGTTGACCTGATTTGGTTTCATACACATCAGTTTATGCATTGACAATCTACAGACTAGGCTGCAATCCTTAATGTTACTCAGTGATTATCTGTTTGTGAGTTTTTAATAGTTGCTAGTCAAGAAAAATGTTTTATAATGTAAAACTTATCTTATATGAGACATACCAATATGACCTTTCTCATCAATTATCAGATCTGTGCTTGTCAATAATTCTTGGGTGTTCTCAATTTTATTTGTATTTTATGTGACAATTACACTATCCATTTATGATGGCTTATGAGCAAATTGGGCCAGATCTAATCTTAACAGTTTGTGTTAGTTTGATTTTTTAATTACAAAGCCTGTGTATTTTGTACTGATTTCGACATAGATCATAGTCACTCGATGTAGATTGAATGACATGTCTTGGCCTTGTTTTGTTTGGTCAGGGAATCGTGGAGCGAGACCAGATTGTATTTACAAAGGCACATTCCCGGGGGATTCCCATCATGATGGTTACCAGTGGGGGCTATCAGAAAACAACAGCACGAATCATTGCCAACTCAATCATCAATCTGAGACAGAAAAATCTTATTGGTTGCGATGCTGCTGAACAAGAGCCTGTTCCTAGAACAGGTATCCTTCAAAAACTCAAAAAATAGCTTCTGTTTCATTTCTTCATTTTCTTGATGTTTTTTGTTTTTTTTGGGAGGGAAATGTTCTAACGTATGTGAATTCCTTTCAGATGTTCTTTGTCTGCACCAATTTTGAATTAATCATTTGAGATTATGATGTGTTTTTATTTATTTTGTCTTTCAATTTTTAGCGCACCTGGGCGTTTGGGCTGTGCCAGGTGGGCTTATGTTTTCATCCAACATAGGTCTGTCCTTCTTATGTTTGTGTAGTGACTACTTTTGTATTTAAACAACTTCTTCTCAATAACCCAGAGTCCAAGAGTCATGAAATTTGGATGATAGGTTACTTAGATGAAAGTCAAAGAAGTTAAAACCTATTAACAACTTCTTTTGTTGAAACAGAAGCCCAAGAATCTTGATATTTAGCAGGACAGATCCTTAAATAAACCCCATTCTAGACCCATGTTCAAGGTCACATTGATCACCTGATCCATTGATTAACCAAAAGACCTAGAGTTCTAATGTTTTCATAATAGGTTCCAAGAATGAACTCAAATAATTGTTGTGTAAAGAAATTATCTTTTTCCGTAGTCAAGGTCACATGGGCTTAATTGTGAAAACTTTTTAACTACCTCTCAATAACAAAAGGCCTGGTATCATATTTGTCTGGGATGAATGAAGTTGACCTAGAGTTGCGAAAACAAGGGACAAATTTGTTGAAAACTTTCAACCAGCTTCTTTTAATTCAACAAACAGCCTAGGATCATAATATTGACCTGTAAAGCTCTTTGGGTGATGTTTATCAAAAGAAATTATGTCGATATAAATTCTAGGTCAAAGGGCTCAGAGTTTGAAACATTCAAACAACTTATTCTCACTAGCCAAAAGATTTAGGTCCAAGATATCTTATAATTTGGGTCATGGGACGAATGTCTATGTTTTGAAATGATGATGTATAAGTGTAAAGCATTGAATATCAGGTGAGCAATGCAGGACAATTTTGCCTTTTGTTCAGAGACAATATTTTAGAATTACGATTCAATTGTGAAGGTTTTTTCAGTATAAACTAATTAAGGAACCAGTTCAGGACCAAAATCCTTAAAAAAATCAGCTTACAAGAATAAGGTATTTCTGAGACCCGCCTATCCTTTCTTTGTACAATACTTGCTTATATAAATGTATAAGGGAAGTTTAGCAATGATTTTGAGAAAAAAAATTTTTAAGGTATCATGATTTCTAATGATAATAAGAAAATTTTAATAGCATATTTATATTCCTGTTGTAAACTGTATTTAAATATAAATTGTTATACTCTATGTTCTCTCTTTTAAAGTGCTATATATTTTCATTTCCAATCCAGCAATCTTGTGATATTATTCATTTCTCAATGTTGTCAATGAATATATTTGCAGTATTGTGTTTGAATAAAATGTATTTATTGATATTTTCTTATTTAGTTCTTTTATTCATTCTTTGATTTGCTTCGTTCAGTCATTAATGTATTAAGTTTGACCTCTCCTGACCTTTCCTTTTTATTGCTTCCTAGGTTTATTATGCAGCAGACCAGCAAAACAAAGACATATCAAAGTTCATTTGTTGTTACATCATAAAAGTGATCCTGGGTATCTGACTGAAACAATGTTTTTTTTTTCTTCAAATATCTTTATTTGTGATCTGTAACATCATATATTACAATTCTTTACATCATAAATGATGATTGTACACTTATTTAATTCATAATTGGTGATAGTACACTTTATGTCTTAAATGATGGTTGTACAATTATTTACATCGTAATGGGTGAGAGTACTCTTCTTTATGTCTTAGAGGATGGTAGTTCAATTATTTACATTATAATGGGTGATAGTACACTAATTCATATCTTAAAAGGATGGTAGTAGACTAATTAACATCATTTAGGATGATAGTGAACTTCTTTACATCCATCTTAAAGGTCAATAGTACACTTATTTACATCATTAAGAGTGAAAGTACACTTCTTGACATCATAAAAGATGATGGTACACTTATCTACATCATAATGGATGACAGTTGCTTATTTATATTATAAAGATGATGGGACACTTGTTTCCATCATTAACAGTGAAAGTACACTTCTTGACATCATAAAGGATGACATTTGCTTTTTCATATCATGAAGATGATGGTACTCTTCTTAAAGAGTGAAAGCACACTTTGCATCATGAAGAATGACGCAGCACACTTATCTACATCAAAGGATAACAAAAGAACAATTATTAGAATAAGTAGCAGTCAGAGATATTTGAGTTCATTGAACCTGTCTCTTCTCGTGACATGCATGAAGCTGTGTCTTTCTTTACTATTATATATATTTTCATGTATTCACCTTATTTTGGATTTTTGGTGGGGTTTTTTTCTACATTGTCTTGTTACAGTGCTTTGAAGCTTATTGTAGTCATTTTGTGGCAGTTTAAAAACAAAACAAAAATAAAAAGACTAGATCCAGGTAGGTGCCTACTTATAGTATCTATATTTTTGTAACTCTTCTGTGTTTGATTTCAAACGAATTACTGGAGGAAGGATGCATGTCAACATAAAACATAGCAACAACAGTTTATTTATGCTGTTTATCAGATAATTTGATTACTTTCCTCTAATGTTTGGAAATAGGTATTTTACGGGTAATTATCTTAATAATTTTTTCTTTAAAAATTGAGATCAATCATTTATAAAGGGGATCTTTTTTGTTGGATTTGGTATCATATGTTTTACCTAGATTATATATATAAGAAATTTCTGAAAATATTATAAAAGTTCAGTCATTAGGGGGTATATGTCAAGGATATGTATTTAGTTCACTGTATTTCACAATTGATACCACAGTTACTTTGCATACAGCTTGTGGTCAAATGTGACAACTGTATTCAGGATTCAAAAGTTTCTGGCATAATTCAGAAATTTTTCCTTGAAGAATTTTCATACTTAATGGATCATATTGTTATTTCTGATGCCGTATTAAGATATTTGAAGGTCATTGAATAAAGTCAATATCAAAATCATACAGAGTTAATGCCATGGACAGCTTCTGAATTTAAGTTCACACCAATATCACATGAAATTTCATCGTCATTTTTATTTTGTTCTAATTACTTTTGTAATCAATATTTCTTATTCAAACTGATCGTAATTCATTCAATGAGAAATTTGTCAGATTTTGAGTTCAGATATGTGGTGTTAGCTAGAGTACAGAATGCAGTAATCACTGGAATGTTCTGATATTAATATGCTGGATGTTTCAGAAATTCGTTCAAGCCTTCCTAGGAGCCAGAGTGAAGGGTTTTTGGCCCGTTTTAAACGAACATGCTTATCAACATCAACATCTACAACGACCCAAGATTTGACCAAGTTGGATACAAGTCCAGATGTTCATATAGATGGAATGGGTTCAATCAAGGATCTGGGGTATATTTGACCCTAGGCACTTTGTGATTGACCCCCATGTGATCATATAGGATTAAAACTGACCTTGGATATGCCAAGGAGAAATTTAATCCATCATTTTGTGACCGTCTAGGATTAAAATTGGCCTCAGATCAGCCTAGAGGAAATTTCATCCTTCTGTGACAGTCTAGAATTAAAATTGGCCTCAGGTCAGCCTAGGAGAAATTGATCCTCCTGTGACTGTTTAGGATTATAATTGTCCCTAGGTCCACCTTGATCCTCCTGTGTCAGTTTAGGATCAAAATTGTCTCTGGGGCAGCCTGTGAAATTTCTTTCTCATGTGACAATCTAGAATTAAAATTGACCTTAGGTCAGTCTTGGGGAAATTTAATCCTCCTGTGACAGTCTAGGATTAAAATTGACCTTAGGTCAGACTAGGAGAAATTTTATCCTCCTGTAACTGTCTAGGATTAAAATTGACCTTAGGTCAGACTAGGAGAAATGTTATCCTCCTGTGACTGTCTAGGATTAAAATTGTGCCAAGGGGAGATTTGATCCTTCTATGATAATCTAAAATTGAAATTGACCTTAGGACAACCCAGGAAAGATTTAACCAAGGGCCCATGGGTCAGTCTCATATTCAAATTAGTACAAGGTGTATTCAATTCCAGGTCAATAAAAAGTAAATTTTAATGTTAAACCAGTTTAGGGTTGACCCGAGTAGTATCAAGGATACCTTTGATCCTAGGATGGTTACGGGACATTGAAATGTCCAATACACAGTTAGTTAGTGTACCTACATAAAATCAGAGCATTGACAACCCTTGATAATCAATACTTGTAGGTGAGCTGAGGGCATATCCCCAGAATAATCCTGAAACTCCAGGTCTTCTTTGCTTTAATTATCAATAATAACTACCTGTAATAATCTATAATGTTTACAGATATACATTTATATTTTTCTTCCATATGAGGATAATTAGCCATTAGGTTGCCTCTATCAAATTTTGATATATAATTCACAAATCTGCTTGGTGAGATCCTATCAGAATATTTGACTAGGTATTTTTTAGTAGAACAATCTAATACTAATCCTTCAAAAGGTTATCAAAACAAATACCAAAAAAAATCAAAATAATGAATTTTCCCTTGTATTACATGATAAATAAGTTTTTAGTAAAATTGATGTGAATGAATGATACATGTACTGGTATGTTTATATAATCTTGCTTGAGATATGCCTATTATATAGAAAAAGGTCACAAAAATACAAAGCATTCCATATCCTATATGTTGTATATCTTTTCATATGTTTATTTTTGTTTGTTGAATACTAGGCTAAGAGTATATTCTACCTAAATGTAATGTGCAATACAGAAGAGTTCCACACTAAGAAAGATAATATTGATATTGTAAAAAGAACACCAAAGGTAATTAATTCTAGCATTGATATTTTGATGGAAAAAAATAAAGAATAAATTAAAAATAATGCTATTGATAATTGGTTTTTGAATTTTAAAACATCCAGCTTACAAAATGTACTTTGTTTATGAAGAAAGATAAGTAGATCATGTAAAAGTCTGATGCTCTGATAAGTTGATGTATCTTTTTTATATATATATTGTTACTGATGTACCGTTCGTAAACTCATATTTTACTTCACTTATGCTGTTGTTTTACCATACGTACATGTAAATTCAATTTGGACTATTTTCATTTAAATTTTCTCTCAGTAGAACAAATATTTTGATAGGAAATACAGTGATGTTTCTTTTTTTGCACAAGTTGTTAATTGTCTCAGATTCTTTTATCAAATAATTTTTCATTTACTAGCAGCAATGTTGGAAGTATATCCCGATGAAATTTTGGTTGGACAGGCATATATATAACCTGTTCATTTTAATATCCAGTCATACACATTGGAATAAAACACAGACATTTTTTTTAAGACCTATCTGATCTTATCACTAGAATATATTTCAACAACTTAACCATGTAAGAATGGAGAAAGAGTATCACGTCTGTATCTCACGGCATGTGGTAACTAATTGTTGGACCTCCCTTGCAGGTCTTTAGTGGTTTTTTTGGTAACCCTTATTGAGGGGACAACCTAAGAATAGAGTCAGCTATGTTCAACTTCATAAATGTAGATGGCAACTTAAGTGAAACTGAAATTAGGGATCTCATCCATTTCTTCTACTAAAGAGGCATTGAAGAGACCAAATAGGCCTGCGGCTTCTATTGCAACATTTGGGATCTTGTTTATTTACTTCTTTTCTGTGCTTTATCTTCTGCTCTTAGTGGCCATCGTGATATTCGTCTGATATGACCCTGGGTTTATATTGCAAGAACGTTAAACTCTGGAAAACAAATTTTGATAACATGCGATATTCAAAATATGATTAAAGGTTTAGTTAAGTTTATTGTTTCTTTACGTCCTTTTAACAGTCATGTTTTATTCAAGGATGTACCTTAAATGTGCATGTATGTGAACAAGTTTGGGTGGAGTTCCCGGCGAAAAAAAAAACAACCTGGAGCCAGTACCTGGCGACAGATCCACTTATTTCTTTAACCCGCAACCCAGAGGTGGAGGGCTAGTGATGAAGACGCCTTAACCACTCGGCCCTCCGAAAAAGTTTTTACGCTATTGTCGCTATATCATTGGACTGTTTTGAAGATATTTTTGAATGACTGTATTAAGAGGCTTTCAAAGTATCACAGCACTTAAGTATTGTCACAATATCATCCGTCACTTGTCACAACAATATCGCTCTATAACGACATGTTTATACAAAAATGTGTACTAGCATTTGGTTCTATAAAGAAAATGTCCCAGTATCATTTCACTCTATTAAGGTATTTATTCTTTTTAGATGTTGTCATATTACTGCTGGGCATCAAACTGATATTTGCTATCTGGTAATCGCTTATTTCACAGAATTGCCATGAGAAGTTTCATTCCTCTTTTTAGGTCATCTGACCCAAAGGGTCAAGATGACCTATAGCCATTGTGCTTCGTCCGTCGTCGTCCACCGTGCGCCGTCCGTAAACTTTTCATTCAAACAACTTCTTCTCAAATACTAGAAGGTCTAGGGGGCTAATATTTGGCACAGAGGATACTGGCATGGAGCTCTACCAAGTTTGTTCAAATGAATGACCTTGACCCACTTTAAAGGTCACAGGGGTCAAATATGTTAAAATCTTTAAACAACTTCTTCTCATTAACCAAAAGGCTCAGAGTATAGATATTGGGCCTGTGACATGCTGGGATGAAGTGCTACTAAGTTTGTTCAAGTGAATGACCTTGACCCACGTTCAAGGTCACAGGGGCCAAATATGTTAAAATCTTTAAATGACTTCTCCTCAATAACCAAAAGGCTCAGATTGCTGATATTGTGCCTGTGGCATGCTGGGATGAAGGGCTATCAAGTTTGTTCAAATGAATGACCTTGAACAACTTTCAAGGTCACAGGGGTCAAATATGTTAAAATCTTTAAATAACTTCTTCTCAAATACTAGAAGGCCTAGGGGGCTAATACTTGGCCCATAGCATGCTGGCATGGAGCCCTACAAAGTTTGTTCAAATGAATGACCTTGGCCCACTTTCAAGGTCACAGGGGTCAAATATGTTAAAACATACATACGACTTCTTCTCAACAAGCAAAAGTCCATGAGTGCTGATATTGGGCCTGTAAGATGCTTGGAGGAGAGGCTACCAAGTTTGTTCAAATGAATGACCTCAACCCACTTTCTAGGTTTGGCTTGCTTTTTGTCAGATGACCGTTAAGGCCCATGGACCTCTTGTTGTATTACTTTCATGGTAATTTAGGAATACTGAACACTTACCAAGACAGAATTTTTAAATGCTTCTTTGTTCATTAAACCTGAGTATTAACCAAAACTTCAGATAATGATTAACAATAAAAATCTAATCTATATATGACATCGAGTCCTGTGAGCATGCAAAACTTTTTGTGCCATAATGATCAGTGTGTACTCTAAGACTTTTAATGATTTAATTCATATCTGAAGGCATTGTATGGATTTAACAAATAAAGTTGTATTTTGAGAATTTTGCAATAAAAGTGTTATTTGTATTTGTTTGATCTCACTTAAGTCCACGACTGTATCTTTTACTCTTCAAAAATCGTAATCATTTTTTTTAACAATAACGGTCTTTTCCTTCTCTGTCAAACAAACTTGTTTTTTAAGTCTTGGAATCATGATTTTGCTTTGCTTTAGTTACATGTATACTAGTACAAGTATAAGCTAGGAGATTGCATTTCTCGTGCATTTATTGTGTTCTTTTGTACTGCTCTGAATATCATTAAAATAAAAAAAAAAAAAAATCAAAGTATATCAAAATCTGCAAAACTTTGAAGAAGTCCTGCAATTTGATATGATATCAATATTTTACCCGGAAAGAGTTTTTGTAGAACTATAAGCTGTTTCCATCTGACAATTGGGACTAATTGTAGTGAACAGTGGCCATGTCACAGTTGGTGCATTATTTGCCGTTTTGCATACCACAGAATAATTTTCAAATACATACCAGACAAGGGAAAAAAAGGAAAGTTTGTAGCACTTCAGGAATATTCTCTCCATTTCAAATTTCATTATAAATTGAATATTTATGCATTTGCCAATAACGTATTAAAAGGCCCACGCATTCAATTGCTTTTTGAAATTTAGTAGCTTTTGCATGTAAAATGGTATATTTAATCTAAAAGTGAGCTGATTTTCAGCGAAAGTAGCAAAATGAAACAAAAATCACCAGAAAAAAAATCATTTTTATTCCTGGCAAGTAAAAAAGTAGTCATTACACCAATAAATAGCATTGATCCTATATATACAAAAGAGTTTACTGCTGTTTTAAATGCAAAAGAACATATTTCACCTAAACATGTCGGATTCCTGTGGTAACATGAAGTTTAGGAAATCTGATGTGAAGAATTATCTATTATTTAACAGAAAAGACACAAATACCACTTTCTTTCTCCTCTTTTAATGTTGCTGAGATCTTCCATCAATAATGAAACCAGTACTGAAGTAGAACATATCACTTCAAGTGTCTTTTGAGACACAGAATGCACAAATCATGAGACATTCTGATAGGGAAAGACAACTCCTTCAAAGTCCAACTTGCTCCCCCCTCCCCCCACCCCCCACCAAAATTTTAGCAAAAATCAATTTCAGATTTTCACTGCAACAACATAAAATAGTACATATCAGTGATGAACAATAACAGAATTGATTTATTAAAACATTTTTTTCATTTGAAAATAAAATTCTACCTTGGCAAATTAATTTGTGATCAATCAGTATTTAACTTTTCACACAAGGAAATATTTATTTCTTAGAAACATCTGGAGGAAAAATATGCTTACCAGAAGGGTATATGGTTACAATTCACAATCAGGCATAACCAGTATTTAGCAAAGTTAATGCAACACAAAGGATTAAACTCGGAACACTTGTATGGCACTTCATAACATATATTTTGTGGGTGTAGGGAGGGAGGAGGGAAAGATCTCTGATAATTGTATAAATCCAAAGCCAAATGATGATGTTTTTACTGGTTCTAGAATAATGAATATGAACATGTTAATATTTAAATATCCAAATTCCCATAATTTACACACACTGAAAGTACAACTTATTCTCATGAAGCCTCATACAAACTATTCCTGTCAGAGTATGAAAATAACTCCAATATGTTACTTGGCATGATTTTTGTGTAAAAATCTTTTTGAAAATGAAAAACACATCATACTTACCATGTAATTACATATATATGATTAAAATCACCACTATAGGGGATGATGATTAATGTTTGACATACTGGTTATGCTAGATCAGGAATCGTAACCACAGCATTGGTCCAATCTTTTAACTGCATTGTTCACACAACATATTTCTATTGATATTGTTTTTCATATTAACAACGGTTTAAAATTACATGAAATTTAATACAAACAATATAATGATCACCACACATACAGTGCACTATATACAATTCTTATGTATAAATGGGGAAAAAAACATTTTCAATCAGTTCTAAGGAAGGGCTTCAAAATATGGCATAAAGTTTATCCCAAGCTCTCCAAAAAACTTTTTAGTGAAAATGATTCTTTGTAAATCTACACAACATCAAATTGCAGTACAGATAATGTTTCTGAGAAAAAACATGACCTGTTACCAAGTACAACAATAACTGTCTGAACAGGATAACTCTGATATTTCATTCTAGCGAGTTATCAAACAATTTTTATGCTACAAACATATTTCTGATTTCCTCCAAAGCTAGATCAAATTGTTGGGTTTACCACCCCATAAACAGTCAGGGCCATTTTCAGGAGATTTCTTCTTGTAGAAGCTGCATGGTTGCTACCTCACTGAACAACATATGGAAGAACCATTACATTCTATCCAGATCAATTAGGAGAAGTTGTCTTGCCAAAGAACACAACAATGACAGCACAGCCCAGTCTGTTTCTCAGCTTGCTAAGGAGCAAAGCACCACAGGGAGCATAGAACCACACACCTCAGATCTTCACCCAAGGTTACGAAGGCCTAACCTCTCACAAAACTGAGCTAACGCAGTCACCTTATCACCCAAGGTTACGCAGGCCTAAGCTCTCACAAAACTGAGCTAACACAGCCCCCTTATCACCCAAGGTTACGCAGGCCTAAACTCTCACAAAACTGAGCTAACACAGCCCCCTTATCACCCAAGGTTATGCAGGCCTAAGCTCTCACAAAACTGAGCTAACACAGCCCCCTTATCAAACTGGAAAATATACAGAAATAAGTGATTATTCCATAAACAAAGTAGGTAACACATACAATGTTATGCAAGAATGCATTGTTTCTAACTTTCTTTGTCAAATGACAACAACTAAAAATAAAGAGTCTATCAGATAGATGCAGTGTGATGTTTCCAGTTTGTTTTTAAATACAAATTTTTCGAAGTGCCAATAAAATTCCTGAGTTATCGCTGTTCTAGTATTCTTTATAATGGATGTACAATACAGATACGAAATGAATAGACTGCCTTACATGTTACTTCATAATATATACATATGATACTGATAACAAGTCATATGTAAATTGATGCTTAATGCAATGTATTTCGGTTTTAGAGATTAACAAAGACAAACATCCATATGAAAACTTTACAAAATATTTTTCAAGTTATTCCGATCTGACAAATTAGTTAAATTTTCAAAGAAGGAGTAAAAACAAATTTTACCAATATTTTTTTGCAATTGCTTGTTATTGATGACATGTTTAGAGGAAATGATGTGGGTTTTAACCCAGTCTTGATGTGTTTTTGTCTAATGTCATATATATTGAAATAAATGATTCTCAATCCAAGTGTTGATGGTTGTCTGAAATTGTAATGAAATCGGGAAATGATGAAATATGACAAGGAATATACACATTTTATGCTGATGATCGTAAAAACATCAATTTGTCATCTTGCAGTTATGAACAAAAAGAATGAATGTTTAACTTCATAAGTTATGTGAACATATTTAACATCAATGATGCAGTTAATGTGTCAAATTTCATTAAAATTTTATCCCTTGATTTTGAGACACACTAATGGAAAAAGAAAAACTTTAATGTTATTTCAAGCGACAATATTAACAGCAAATGTTGAATTCATCCAACTACTATATTGCTCTGCTAGTAAAACAAACCATAAATTTAACAACAATATATTATAACATCCATCTAAATTTACAAAAAGAAATTAGAAGGGTTGAGTTGGAAAGCTTGACAGAACACAGTGCATGCAAAGTAAGATCCAATATCTAAAGTCGATCATTGACACATAAAGCAAAAGTTGTACAGCAGTGATCAAGAAAACAATCATAGATGAAATTAAACATCGAAGTTAAAAATTCCTTCTTCATGATGCCTAAAAAAGATATGGTATTTCCCATCCCCACCCGTCCTACCAAATGGAGGCCCCAATGCCAGCATGATTGATGATTTAAGTCTTTGTACTGATCATATTCACATCCCATGGTGTAGCACTGTGGTGTTTCTATGGCAATTATAACATCACTCTCCTTTTGTTTCTCCTTCATCTGGTTCCACTGCTTCTACGTCATCGTCATCCTCATCTTCTCCTAGCACCTCAACGTCATCATCGTCTGTACAAACATCGAGAAGGAACAATTTCACATGAATTCTAAATTTTTTTAGTTGAAAAGATTTTCATGGAGCATCGTTTCAATCCCTGTTAAACCCACATGTACCAGATAATCCTGATACCATGTTAAACCCACATATACCAGATAATCCTGATACCATGATAAACCCACATATACCAGATAATCCTGATACCATGTTAAACCCACATATACCAGATAATCCTGATACCATGTTAAACCCACATATACCAAATGTTCCTGATACCATGTTAAACCCATATATACCAGAAAATCCTGATACAATGTTAAACCCACATATACCAGATAATCCTGATACCATGTCAAACCCACATATACCAGATAATCCTGATACCATGATAAACCCACATATACCATTATACCAGATAATTCTGATGCCATGTTAAACCCACATATACCAGATAATCCTGATACCATGTTAAACCCACATATACCAGATAATCCTGATACCATGTTAAACCCACATATACCAGATAATCCTGATACCATGTTAAACCCACATATACCAGATAATCCTGATACAATGTTAAACCCACATATACCAGATAATCCTGATACCATGATAAACCCACATATACCAGATAATCCTGATACCATGTTAAACCCACATATACCACATAATCCTGATACCATGATAAACCCACATATACCATTATACCAGATAATTCTGATACCATGTTAAACCCACATATACCAGATAATCCTGATACCATGATAAACCCACATATACCAGATAATCCTGATACCATGATAAACCCACATATACCATTATACCAGATAATTCTGATACCATGTTAAACCCACATATACCAGATAATCCTGATACCATGTTAAACCCACATATACCAGATAATCCTGATACCATGTTAAACCCACATATACCAGATAATCCTGATACCATGATAAACCCACATATACCAGATAATCCTGATACCATGTTAAACCCACATATACCAGATAATCCTGATACCATGTTAAACCCACATATACCAGATAATCCTGATACCATGTTAAACCCACATATACCAGATAATCCTGATACCATGTTAAACCCACATATACCAGATAATCCTGATACCATGTTAAACCCACATATACCAGATAATCCTGATACCATGATAAACCCACATATACCATTATACCAGATAATTCTGATACCATGTTAAACCCACATATACCAGATAATCCTGATACCATGTTAAACCCACATATACCAGATAATCCTGATACCATGATAAACCCACATATACCAGATAATCCTGATACCATGTTAAACCCACATATACCAGATAATCCTGATACCATGTTAAACCCACATATACCAGATAATCCTGATACCATGTTAAACCCACATATACCAGATAATCCTGATACCATGTTAAACCCACATATACCAGATAATCCTGATACCATGATAAACCCACATATACCAGATAATCCTGATACCATGATAAACCCACATATACCAGAAAATCCTGATACCATGTTAAACCCACATATACCAGATAATCCTGATACCATGTTAAACCCACATATACCAGATAATCCTGATACCATGTTAAACCCACATATACCAAATGTTCCTGATACCATGTTAAACCCACATATACCAGATAATCCTGATACCATGTTAAACCCACATATACCAAATGTTCCTGATACCATGTTAAACCCACATATACCAGATAATCCTGATACCATGTTAAACCCACATATACCAGATAATCCTGATACCATGTTAAACCCACATATACCAGATAATCCTGATACCATGTCAAACCCACATATACCAGATAATCCTGATACCATGTTAAACCCACATATACCAGATAATCCTGATACCATGTTAAACCCACATATACCAAGTGTTCCTGATACTATGTTAAAAGAGAAGATATGATCTGATAAAAAAACGAGAGATAATGGGAAAAAATTTCCAAATGGAGAAGCGTATATTTATGCATGTTTTGCACAAACTGTTTTACAGATAGGTAAGAGCAAGCTTACACACTTTTTACATATTTCTAGCACTATGCTTTTAAGACAGCCAAAAACCTGCAGATGAAACTAACAGTTGTTGTCCAAACTCTACAAGATTCTTCTTATGTATTGTTACTAACATTTCAGGTATGGTGTACACTAATATTTCCACATACAAAAGTTACAAAGCACATACCATCATCATCTTCCACAGAATCTATCGTTTCGCCTAAGCCATTTGTTTCATCTAATTCATCTTCATCATCATCATCAATCTGGTAAACTTCTTCATCTGTACAAGCATAAAAATTATTGTACTCTCATCAAAACACATAAATACCAACAAGGCAATACAGTCATAATTCAACTCAAATCCATAAAACTAGGGCAAAATATCAACAAAAAAAAACATCTACATGGAGACTCCTGAAAAAGTACAAGGAGAATAAGACCAGGTGTTCTGGTAGAGTAAGCACCTTCTGCTCCATCGACAACACTCACAATGCTAACCTTCGTCAATCCAAGTAATGTCACATTCTCAAATGAGAACCAAGTATACAACAACGGAACCAACAGGCAAACTAACAAGCATCAAACACATCCAGTTTCATATCACACACAGAAATAGAATATTTCTCAATGAGATCACTATGGCAACCATAAAACTTTCCCATAATTTTCACCAACCTGCATCTTTTGAATCATTGCGTTACAAGTTTGTGTTAGTCAGTTGACGACTTCTTGCATGAAAATTGTGAGGAAGGGAACAAGCCCTTGGATATTGAATCAACTGAGACATGTCAAAGTAAAACTGGAAATGAAATAGTGTAGGACTTAAATATATTTCAAATAGATAAAATGATAAGTTTGTTCCTGGTGTCTTCAAAAACTTGACTAGAGGGTTTTTTGGTGCAAGTTTATTTTTGTTTATTTGGGTATGTGAAGTGACATTTGAGTATGTAAGGTGACATATGGGTATGTAAGGTGACATATGGGTATTTGAGGTGACATATGAGTATGTGAGGTGACATTTGGGTATGTGAGGTGACATTTGAGTATGTGAGGTGACATATGGGTATGTAAGGTGACATATGGGTATTTGAAGTGACATTTGGGTATGTGAAGTGACATTTGGGTATGTGAGGTGGCATTTGAGTATGTGAGGTGACATCTGGGTATGTAAGGTGACATTTGGGTATGTGAAGTGACATTTGAGTATGTGAGGTGACATCTGGGTATGTGGTGACATCTGGGTATGTGAGGTGACATCTGGGTATGTGAGGTGACATTTGGGTATGTGAGGTGGCATTCGAGTATGTGAGGTGACATCTGAGTATGTGGTGACATCTGGGTATGTGAGGTGACATTTGGGTATGTGAGTTGACATCTGGGTATGTGAAGTGACATTTGGGTATGTAAGGTGACATTTGGGTATGTGAGGTGACATTTGGGTATGTGAAGTGACATTTGAGTATGTGAGGTGACATCTGGGTATGTGGTGACATCTGGGTATGTGAGGTGAGTGCATGTGCAGTAGAGTGTGTGTTTTATCTAGAAGCCTTGTATATAGATATACAATACATGTAAATGTGGACCTCACAACTTTTCTCCTTTCTAATGATAGTATACTTACCATCATCTAAGTCATCATCATCTTCATCATCATCCCCCAATACAACCACAGAATCCTCGTTTTCATCATCATGATCACTGTAAATTACCAATCAAGAAATAATTCTTTATATCAACAATCCTTAATTCTGGTAATAAGCAACAGAAACCTACAAAACTATCTCTGTTTATGAGATTATTTATCAAGTTGTAATACAAAACGAAAAGCCGATAAACATATCTCTATTTACAAAGATATATTTATCAACAGAGTCAATGCAATGTGATCTTTAAATCTCCTACATTTTCCACGTGGGAAGAGGAGACATTCATCAGGTTTATATGTGTGAAGTAGTTTCTGCAGGATAAAGGTTGATACAGCTCTCTTAAAGTTAATGAATTACATGAGCAAGATATTTATGGAAAAATGTCTCGCCATCCCTTCTCTAAAAGAACTGAATTCCAGTAAAAACTGATCAAATCAGAATTAAAGGTATAAGATGTCAAAAATGATTGGGTCTTTTGTTTTCTCAAAATCCACCAAAATTTCAGGAATTCATCCAAACATTGAGAAATATTTATTCAAATTTCTATATTTCAGTCTTGATTTGAGATTTAAGACCTATTCAAATACATAAACCAAACTCTGTTTCTGTAGTAGTTGTCTTATCGAAGTAACTGATTTGACTGCAAATTTTTATGTTGCGGATAGAAACAGAAAAGTAAAATTCCCATCTCCCTCCTTTCTCCTTAGTAATGGTGAAGCAAAAAGAAGACGAGAAACTCTGATAAACATACTTCCTAGCAAAATATTCTATCATCATAACATGATACTGCTTGGAATTCTGCCTTGCAATGTAATGACACTGTCATAAATATTCTTTGTAACCAATCATTACTACTCTCTCTCTCTCTTATGTATTTTGTAAATTTTTTCATTTCCAAAATTTTGAGGAGATGTAGGGATTCTGAAAATCTTAATGTGTTTACTTAGGAAAAACATTAGCTCAGATCTCGATCATTGAGCACTAAAAATCAGTGTGATTTTATGTTGTACTGTGAATATCATTTTTTTCTATATTAAAAACAAGTAATTCACAGTCAAAGATGCATATTGGTATATATTTAAATGATACGAATGTATTTCAATGCAATCCTTTATGAAATTACTTACCCTACTCCATTCTCCCCAACTTCAATGTCTGGTGCTAGGTAGTACTGCAGAGGGTTTGGCCACATATCATCCTTTATAACCTACAAACAAAAGTTTGCTATAAATCACAAGGATTAATGATCATTTCTATTATTTACTATAAACAGAATCTTTTCGTTTCCAACTTAACTGTTCATTCTAACATTTCCAAAATGAAAGGAGAACAGAAAAAAAAAACCAAACCACTATATAGTTCTTTAAATGTATATGCATATCAAGAACATTTCAGTGTCACTTTTCTACATGGACAAACCTAATAAATATATGTGTGGTTTTATGGACTAGGAAGACTTTAAAAAACTGCCAAAATTCTGAGAAGACAAGCTAACACTAAAGTAACATCATAACTATATGTTTACTGCAGACCAGTTAGATTAACATGAGCATTGAAAAAAAAAACTTTTGTCCAACAGATTGAGTTTATCTATGCACACCCCGCAGTACATTAACTTAGACCACCAACCTCTGCAATGTCATCTGCTGATGGGTCAGCGTTATCCTGGAACCAGTGGAAAAATGTTCGTGAGAAGCCATGTCTCCGTTTCCTGTTGGGCATCTGTGCCTGTGCACGCTTTGTCAGGTCCATGTTGTCTTTCCATTCTACTTTGGTTGACTTTGATGCTGGGTCACCTATAGAGTATACACAGATGGTTTCAGATAACATCATTTAACATCTACACTGGCTAGTGGTATTTATATCAGTACTTACATCAATTTCCCATTAATAAACCTCTTCTAAACTTTGGAAATATTATCAAATTTCTGCTAGCTGTGTTTTCAGCTTTACCATTTTTCTTGAATGTATTTCTTTAAAGGCCAAATTTCAAAAATGTTCTCTTTAAATTCCTACACAGCTGTAAAGAATTTCTTTAAATAATTAGATTATTCCCTGATTAATAATATAAGTCAAAATAAACAGAAAATCGCGTGAAAGACTGGGGTAGCAAATAGAACTCTGATACCATACCTGATGTTGCTAGATGAAATTCTTTGGACAGATTACTGTTGTTGAAATAAGGATTGGTGGAAAATGTGAAATTTATCCTGTACCCTGATTTGATATCTTCAAATTCTTCAACTTCAACCTATAAAAGAAAACAACATTTTTTGGATGTTAAAAACTTCATGACACTGTTTGAATTTCCCTTAAAATGACAATTTCTTCTGTATACAATGTATATAATATTTCTTATCACCACAACCTCTCGTTTAAAAAATGCAAGTAATAAATATTAAAGTAATCAAATTCATAGAGATTCTACAACCATGGACCGATTCATTTTTATATCAAAATACATTTTTTGTGTACAATAGATAAAGTAAAAGCAGACAGCATTTTTGTAATGTATCCACTTCAATTTTCAAATTTAGACATTACCAGATGCTAGAAGCCATAAGCTCAATGTTGTCAATATTAATTTGGCATTACTTTAAATAATATTTCATTAACCAATAAAGATCTTTGCTCAGAAATCTATGTCTTGCTTGCAATAATAGATATAAAATTGGACTGCTTACAAATGCTCCTAGCATAGTGGCTAGGTAATCATATTTTTGTCTATCCAATGTTGTCTTTGGCAGTTGGCAACATAAAAGATAATTTGTGATGGCAATGTATTAGGAATGTCATGGAAACACATGATTTATTAATATATACAACAGTGGTATTTTTTTATCCATTCATTTTGTATAGCCATGTTTTGTAATATTTGAGTTCTGTTGACACTAAAGCAGCATCTCTGAATTTACTATTGGTAATTTGTTTGTATCAAACCAGGAATGAACCATCCAAGGGAAGTAACTCAAACAGTACAAAGTAGCAGATGATACAATCAGTTTTCTCTTTGTTAACTGTTTTTTGCCCACAGCTGAACTTTTTTTTACCAAAATGATATACATGTCACCAGATTTATAAATGTTGTTTCCATCATACTTTGGCTTTGGGTTTCTTAGTAAATGACAGAGGAATTGACCCATGACTGTCAAGAATTACTTATAGAACTTACCATGTTGAGGTAATGTAAGCACTCTTCCTCTTCCTCATCAAGGATGGCAGAAATCTGTGGATGGTTGACAAACTGTGACATGAGTTAAGGATATTTGGATAAAACGAGATCCAAAGAGGGAACTGGTCACCACCTTGATCTTTGTAAGTTCTATGTGACTTTGATTATCTAGCTTATTCCCTGCACCTTTTATAAGACCAGTGTTCAGACAATCATCAATCTCAAGGAAAGGTCAGTGAACATCAGAATAATTTGGACTATTAAAACTTATGCATACTTGCTCTACCTGTCTATTGTTTACATTTAATTGCTAATTCTGTAAACATCAGTTTTCTCTTTCTTGTGTGCGAGTGTTTGGACAATAAGAAAAACTCACTGAAATTATATCAACAAACCTTGAAGTATGTGACAATGTTAAGTGGCAACCCATATAGTTGTATGACAATCCCGGTTCATAGGTATAAATAGATCCAAGTCCATAGATAAACTTACCATTAATAATTTTTTTCAAAAATAAAAAATACATGTTAATATCCATACATGTATTATATGATATGACATACGACTTCTAATATTACAATTAAATGAAAAATACAAGAACAGTAGAAAAAAATTTCAATGGTGTGCTACCTAATTTATATCTTGATTATCTCCCCTCCCTAGATCAGAATCAGTTTCTTCATCTTAAGTTCGGATATGATACAAATGAAAACGCTGCGCTGTTTTTAATATTATTATTATAACAGTCATACGTCCGTTTTCACTGGTAAATTCAAGAAAGAAATTTCACGAGAGACAGAAATCGAATGTCAACTTTCCTTTAGAAGGCCATTTTTCTTTTCGGCCAAAATGACACCAAGAATCTTGTAAATTACAGTCAAAATCGACACAAAGGATACTGCAGTAACCCAGAAGTTTGGAATCTTCTTGATGAGTTCATTTCGTTGATCGAAATGAGGTTTCCTTAATTTGTTGTACTTTTGTTCAACTTTCAATATTTCCTCACTTGCTTTCTCATTCAGAATGTCAATATCGTTCTGACAAGCGTCTATATCTTCCAAAGCCTTTTGTGTATCTGCATCAAAATCCTGACTCTGATCACCTTCTGATACCTCAATTGGTCCGTCTACTTTCTGCATCTTTGTCGGGGGTCCCGTGTCTGTCGACATATTTTGCACTTCTCCTGAGCCTTCTGTTAGTTTGTGGACTTGCCTTTCTTCTCTTTTGAAAAGTTGATAAATTTGCGCGAATACGCACGCTCCTTGCTGTTCTACCGACGGTCAAAGAAAGATTAACGTTCATTGGCTACTAAAAATAAAACTTTGCGATTTTGTTCATTTTGCGCCAATGAAATGGGCTGTAACGAAATTCTTCCGGCATGGTGTACAAATATCCGGGCACTTGTCAATATTAAAATGGCGGAGGAAGAAACGACAGATTCACGAATTAATGAAAACAACGACAATATCTTTGAGATCTTGCAGAAACAAACTTCTATGCGTATGACATTGGACGCATTTGATGACCAACTTAGTGAAAATGGCAATGACATATTGTTTAATTTAAAACGGGATCAAAAAGGTTACAGGAATCTGCCGGGGTTGCAAATTACACATGCTGCACATGTTGCGAAGGAAGATAAAAATAAACAATCTGACTCTCCAGTGGCATCTTCACCCTCAGATTCAAAACGCTTGAAAATAGCGACCATTCCAACAACACATATTCCGGATCCGTGTGTCAGTCCCGATACTGGGAAAAGAAGGCGAATTCAGCATGATTATCGTAGACTGTCAAATTCTGGATATTTAGATGATTATGTTGGTAGTGAAAGACGTTTTTCATCAACAAGTGATTCATCAGAAATAAGTGGTTCGCCATCACCCCCAAAGCAAAAACCATTGCAGAAACCATCAAATGGAATGAATGGAACGACGAAAGGTATTTCTTGATCAAAGCTGCTGTTGTCAATATGTTGTCAGTGTATTTGCTACTGTACACATGTTTACATGCTGTCATGCACGTAGCCACATCATGTCTTGTTAAAGATAAAAAAAAAATCAATGGTCATTGGCATCAAGACTAGCATACTGTAATAAAACTTTCATGTGTTAAAAATATAATAAAACATTAAATAAAATGTACCAAGTATTTACTTTAAACAAAATAATTTGTAAAGGTTTGGGAGCAACACATCTCGAATTTAAACAACACAAGCAAAAATTCAGTCCACTTTGCATCATGCAAGAAGGTAGGAAACTTGTCCATTGTAGATCCTCAGAACATAGTAACTCCTCAAAAAATTGCAAAAAATTATATTTTTAATAGTTGCACCATTTAAAAGTGAAATTTACAGCTGAAACATGTGACTAACCTTTAAATAACATTACGAACGAATGTCACATCAAGTTTCGCCATGAAATGTCATTGTATCTTCGCTTGAGTTTCGCAAGCAGTCAATCCATCCCTGTAAGATGAAAGCATGTCATTCAGATTAAATATAGACCACTCAAGAAGAACTTCCAAGTCAGCGAATTGTTTAGATCTTTGAAAATCTATATTTAGAAATTATGCTCTTCTGTCTTATATAGCGTTGAACAGGCAAGTTTCCTACCTTTTGTATGTTGCTATTTTTGGACCCAATTTTTGCTGGTGTTGTTTATGTTCCAGATACAGGTGCCTGTGGGAACACCCTCAGGAAATTGAAGTGGAAAATTGACTTCTCAATTTTTAAGACTTCTAAAGTTAATCATCAAAGTTTTATCAATATTCACATCTCATTTGGTTTTATCTTTTTAAAACTTTTTTTTGTGGTTTCAAACATCATAAAAACTGATTAAAGCCAATAAATACTTAAAACCTTCTAAAACAGAAAACTACAGTACAAGTGTTGTGGTACTCAAACACAGTGCACAGTGTAAGTTCTCAGTACCTCCCACTTGAGGACACACTTGAAACATGGTTGAAACACTGGCTCATACTGGCTCAACACCTGAGCTTTTACCTGTATACTGACACTGACTCAACTCTGTGTGTGGATAGGTGTTTGAGTTGTTTAATAATCTAAATCAATGAATTACTGTCTTTGAGTTTGTATTATTTATGGCAAAGCCATATTTGGTCGTGCGTTGATGAGTTGCACCCCTGGATGCATGTGATATCACTAACAAATATGACGGACTCTTGAATTTAATGATTGAATTGTGTTTTGTCTTGCACTTCACCTCTTGATTTTGTTCAAAATGTGTATTCCCTAGTTTACAGTAAATACTGTATATATTATCATGTAAATATATTAATATTGATGGTATAGGCTATGGTAAACTTGAATGTTGTCAGTTTAAATTGTTAAATCTGTAACCTTACGTGGGAACTTTGCCTTTATTACAATCAAAATTCATTTCTAGTGCATACTTGAAATTTGAAATGTTTGGGTATGCTTTGTTTCAGTCATATATTCTTTTTTCTAGAGCTTTCTTGTCATTCAGTTACAAACACAGTATAAATAGTTTCAGTTATGTCACAGACTTCATTTGTAGCGACTCATTGTGTTTCCAATCAGCTAAAACAACACAAATCAAACACCATTTGTTTGCATATTTAATTATTAATTAGCAGGTAAACATTGGTTTTTAATCAGCTACAGCATCTGAAAAATAAACAAGCCTTCATCAGATATAAAACCAGTTGCTGGTACAACACACACCGGTTGCTGGTACAACACACACCGTGTCCTGTTAGCATTAATGTATCTAAAATATAGACAGTACATAATGACTGGACATCAAGAGGACGTCTAGCTGTGAACTTTTACATCTGTCATATAATTACAATCCCCTTCATTCGTACACTCATCTCACTGATGATGGATGTTTGCCGGTTGAAATAGCCAGGTTGAAACATGGACCATATTTAATCCCCTACACACAGGTGGTACTCTACACCAGCAGGTATTTGAGTAGCACAACACTTGACATAGGATTAAGTTCTAAAATTATTTCATTTTTTTTTTGTTTATACAAACATGGTGGGAAATGCAGTCAGAATTAGAAGAAATAAAATTAACAAAACAAATGATAATTGTATAACATATGGGAATCCTAATTCATTAAACAGTGATATAGCAGGACCTTTGTTATTGTCATCAATATGGTATCCTGCATGAATAGGTAACTGACTGAAATGAAGACTTGTGTGTTGTGATACAATAAATTTGATGATTCCAGGATTAGGATAGAATGGTGATTTGGCCAATGGAAGCTTAATTGGCATAACATTCTGAGGGGACTTGTGATGGTGAAATGACAAATGTTCTAAATATGTATGTTTAATAAAGTTTAGGATCAGTCACGTAGGCCTAATAACAAAAATACATTAACCGTACATGTGAGTTTTGGCTAAAAAACAAATAGCTGTATTTTTGATAACCTGACCCTTATAAATTTTTTGCCCTTGCACATTAAAGGTGTTTGAAGTTTTTGGCAGTAGAAAACAAAAAAATCTTTGTGTTAATATTGTAAAGCAAAGTAAGAGAAGTGTAATAGTTTTATCTGCTTTACTTATCGCTCATTCATAATACTTTTTCTTATTGCATATGAAACTTTCACATTATTTTATTTTGCTTGCTTGGGATTGCTTTTCAGGTCCGAAAGGCAAAGGTCAAGGTCACTTACTATAGATAGGAATGATATTGATAATACTGTTTAAAAGACACCAGAATCTAAGTACAGTCTGTAAATTAGAACCCGTGTTAACCAGTAGCATCAGATGAGTCCACACAAAGTAAAAACAAGCTGAATACAGTGACATTCACATGTAATTTCATATCCCTGGTTTATGAATACTCGCTGGTATGATAGTAAGCTTACCAACAGTTTGGTGCAAAGTTTGCGTTTGGTTCTAATTTGTACTATAAAAATTCTTATCTAAATATAATGCATATTCTGCATTTGTTATTTTATAAATACCCACCTGATTTTTTTTTGCATAACATTATAAATAGTTTTAATACAGTGTTTGGTCAATATTTAGAGCTATCTATTGGAATATCAATTTTATCTATTTAGGTAGAACTTCTGCTTTTTCCAAGCTCTTTACTGTGTGTCACAGAAACTGCAAGATAACACGATGTACTGCAAATGACATTTATTTCCTTGTTTTTACATCTATTTTAACATGTATAGCAAATGCTCATCTTCACATTACAAATATTGATACTTATAAACTGTATATGGATATTATTGCAAATGAACTTTTGCATATCTTTTAGCTGTCTCTAAAAAATCTTACTTAAGATAAGAAAATTACGTTGTATTAATAATGAAAATCTATCCTCAGGATTATGTCCCTTTGACACTATACATCTAATCGGCTAGTTTACTCATCACCATTATTCTATAAAACTTGTCTTCAGAGGTACAATGTCCTTCGTGATGCATTGGCTTGTGTGTTTACTGAGAAATGGGTGTAGATACTTACATGTATGTATGTTCACATGTATGTTTTACATGTGCTTCCATATATTTATGATGTAAGTTTGCATGCATGTACAAACAATGTATGTAGTGTACATATGTTTCTGTACAAATATGTATGTTCGTTGACATGTGTAAGAATGTAAATGAGTGTGTGTATGTATTGTTTGTGTGTATACATACATGTATATATGAAAGTGTGTGTATATGTCTGTATACAAGCATGTACATATGTACTACATATGTGTGAGAGGGTGTGAATGGGTGTGTACCTGGGTGTGTATCTGTATGAAGTCTCACAGTTTGAATATGTAGCTGTGTTCTCGTGCGTGTGTCTGTAAGCGTATGTTTATTTTTATTTATGTATCTACTGTACATTGTACTAAATAATAAGATAAGTTACAAAAAAATAACTTGTCTCCAGAAACCTTGCTGGGCAGGCGACACATCCACTTCCTTCAAATTTTTGTTTAGAACCCAGATCGTTTGTTGGATTGAATATGGTATGCCTGTATTATAGGAGCTGTTATTGATAAATATATTGGTTCTTATTAAATAACAGTAGACACCAGATCTAGTTCATTATGTAAATTTTTGTTTTGATGACAACATGGATTCATTGTTATGTTGCAGTGGCTCCATCCCCATCTAAGCATGACCGACAGCTGCCTGATTGTGACAACAGGAGCGTGGACAGTCATAATGGCATGAGGTCAAGTCCAGAAAAACTCCTGAAGTTGAACATTGGTAATCATCATGGTTCAAGGGAGGGGGAAGTGTCCAGCGATCAGAAAGAGCGCCGGCACCATCACCATCACCACCACTCAGAGCACCATCACAAACATGCACACCATAAACACAAGCATCGTCATCACAAGGAGCAACGTCAGACTACACCAACAAAGACGCCATTAGTCACTCTGAATGGCAAACAGGAATACCATGTCATCCCACAACAGACAGGTCTCACACTTAAAATCTCAGGGAAGAAACGTATCGTCAATAACTGTGGGGTGCAGGTCAACCTCCGCCGCAGGACAGAGAACAAAGGTGTGCAGGTACCGTCGGGGAGTGGTTCCTCAGGTGGAAAGGATGTACAAATGGCTACATCGGGGAATTTCTCCCCCAAAAAAGGGCTATCCAAGGTGTCCCGTGGGACCCAGACCGATAAAAAGTCGAGCAAATACAACACGGAAAGTGCTAGTAATAGGACCAGTGGTCACACCAAGGTGGAAACTGACACTAAGCCTTTGAGTGCTATTGATGTCATGAAAAATGTTAAAACAGAACGTTTTAATGACATAAACTTACAAAATGGACAGAACTTGGTTGATGACACTTTGCCTTTTTCAAATTCTAAATATAAAAAGTTTATGCACATAGAAAAATATTCTAATGGTGGAGCACTTGTGTTACATGTGTATGAAGAAGAGATCTCGCATCTATCCCACGAAGAGCGTGTTGAATTAGCAAAGGACTATTTTGATTTTGTTTATGGTGAAAGCCCTGAAGGTGTATCAAATTGTGTGATGGGTATTGTTCATGGCGCTGTTGCTTCCCAACCTGACTACATAGACTATTTTGCAGAGAATCATCCAAACATGACTGTCAAGGCAGGTATTTTAGGCAAATCAGACATTGAGAGTTTGTCAATGGTCAAGTACAGGGAACAGGTGATGAAATCGTACCAGAATGGTACATTCCGAACAGGGCCATTGTTACAGATAAGTTTAGTAGGGACAGTGCACGAGGAAGTAGGGGACTATTTTCCTGAGTTTTTAGATTCAATGGAGGAGAATGAGTTTCTGAAAGCAGTAATGCCTTGGGGTGAGAGATCGCTGGTACAGCTGAGTAGGAACCTGAGCAATGATGGCCCTATTTTGTGGGCACGTCCTGGAGAACAGATGGTGCCCACTGCTGATATGCCAAAGTCCCCCTATAAACGGAAACGGTATGTATACATTTATGTACCATTTATCTTGGAATAAATGTCCTATAGGCTTGACATGATTTCAAAAGAGGTAACATAAAATACCAACTTTTGTAAATAGTTACTCTTCCTTACGGTTTGTGATTACATTGTATATGTACATAGTTTTCTTTAATTTTGACATGTCCAATATACAGAACAAGTATTAATGGATACGATGCTAATGTTAAAACAGTCAAGAATAAATAATCTTGTAACATGAAATAGGTCCCTCAAATTAGGAATGAGAGAAGCTTTATGAACACTTGCAATTGACACATCTGGGGGTGATCAAATTACCATATAGACTATAAGCCAATACAGGATCTCTGACTCAGCGTACTGAAGAAAGGAGGGCTTATTACAAAACAGTTCTGGTTTATAGTTAGACAGCAGCCTGTTGCTAGATAATTATGGTAATATTTTTTTGTCAAAGTTAGCAAATTGTCAGACTGTCATCTTTAGAAGAGATAGTGCCTTGGTAGAATGAAAAAGACAAGGAAGTAGTATTGTATTCTTCCTTTAGTTCATTGTGATTTGATTCCACAGTGGTATGAATGAGCTGAAGAATCTGTCATACCTACCGCGTGCATCAGAACCTAGGGAAGTTTTGGTGGAGGACAGAACCCGCTGTCATGCTGACCATGTGGGTCAAGGGTTTGACCGAATGACCACAGCAGCTGTAGGAGTTCTTAAAGCTGTCAAATATGGAGAGGATAGGTAAGTTGATTGTATAAATAAATCCTGGAGAAATTAAAAATCAGATTTGTTTTTCTAATTTCATGAACTTATTTTGTCAGTTTTCCTGTTTATTGGATCATTATTGATCACAGCACATTTTGTCTAAAGCCAGTCTAAGTAGCTGGTAAAACTCGACAAGCATACTCACAAAGATTTTCTACTTTTTTATCATTTTTACGCTACTTAAAACTTTTGGAGGAGCATTCTGTCACTTGTCATGTCCAACCACCTGTCTCTCTGTCTGCTCTTTCATGTCTGGAGCATAGAAACATAACTTTTCACACAGTTAAGCAAGGATCATGAAACTTGGTGTATACGTTGTTCATACTAAGGGAATGTATACCAAATTCAGGTCCCTTGACCCCTCAGAGTTATTGCCTTTTGTTAAGAATTTCTTGTCCAGAGCATACCATATTTTCTGGGTTATAAGCTGCACAGGTATATAAGATGCAGAGCCAGTTTTACTGATTTTTTAATTTGAATCACATAAAAGCCGCACTGCAACATAAGCTGCACCATTTCTTAAGAAGTGGTAACCATTACGTTGACCAAATTTCGTTGATAGAAGAGACAACAGAGGGCAATTTAACAAGATGGTCAACAGAACATTTCATTAAGATTGCAAATGAATTATTCACATGATCCTCTATGTTATTAATGTATTTTAAAAAATGTAAAAAAGCAAACATCAAACTTGTTAGGCTTGGGTGCCTTCACAGATTGTCTACGGACAGATATAGGGTCTGACATTACATACAGTTTACTAAACAATCTATCCATTGGTTTCTGACAAACTAAGTGTATACATTGTCATATTAAGAAAATGTGCAGTGTACCCAATTCAGGGCCTGCAACCAATAATTTCAGAATTATCGCCCTTTGTTGAAGTATTGTGTCCTATAAAGTCATTTTCAGGGAGTATTCATCAGTTTCACATCTATTCTTGTTTTCATATCAGTCATCTAATACCAAATACTGCCACCTATTGGCTGAATCAGTATTGAGCTATATCATCTGTTTTATGAAATGAAATGAAACATAGTTGAAACCCTGTGGCTTTTGGGGGTAGATCATGTTCTCCATTTCCATTTTAAATTATTTCATATTAAGTATTTAATTCCCAAACTTTGCAAGTTATTGTTGAAAATTTCCTTCTCAATTCACCAATTTTCTCCCCAAAATGAGGCTAAAATTTCCCACGCAAAATCAGTCCCAAAAAAAAAAAACCTAAAATGAAACATACATTTATTTCATAAATACCCAGTTATCAATGTAATATTTCCCATTACATTAATTCTTGTCACATAATGTAGCCTAAGGAAGCTGAGGTTGACTGAAGGTTTCCATTGTGAAGGCTTGACTTCATGGTGTCATACGCTTTGTGATTAAATGTCACTTAAGAAAAAGACATATAGGGTGAATATGTCCAAAATTTGTGTTGGATTGATGAAATGATCAACAAGTAGTATTTTGTCTGTTTTCCAGCAATATTGAAGGCCGTGTTGTTAAGGATGTGATTTGTTTCCATCCTGGAGATTTTCTAGAATTGGTTGACAAACTTCATCTAGATCTCCATGAACCTCCAGTCTCACAGGTATGTATAAAAGATTGTTTTTTCTGGTTTTTTTTTTAATTTAATTTTCTTGGAATTTTGAAACCCAATCCCTCTGAAATTGAAAGTCTCCTTAAACTGTTGGAACTCTAAATCATATAGAATGTTGATCACTGTGACCTGTATTTTCACTTTTCAATTACATTTTTAGATTTTACTAAATCAAAGCAGGTACATTATACTGACATTTTCATGTATTTAATCAGTTCTTGTTCTAGGAATAAAGATTCAGGAATAAAATTGTTTGCTTTACCACTTTATTACAGTTGATTTCTATTCACATTCTTCACTAAATGTTGACACAATTGATAAGTATATACAGTCAAGTTTTTTTGAAGATATATAAGTAAAAATTTATGATATCAGGGGGGAAAATTGGATTTTATGAGTTATAGAATTATATTTTGTATTTCTTTATAGTGTGTTACATGGTTAGAGGATGCCAAACTGAATCAGCTGCATAGAGAAGGCATTAGATTTGCACGCATTCAGTTACGGGACAACGATATCTACTTCATCCCACGCAACGTAATTCATCAGTTCAAAACTGTCTCGGCTGTCACCAGTATTGCCTGGCATGTCCGACTAGCCCAGTATTATCCCCCAGAACCTGAGGAGAATACAAATATAGACAATCTATCAACAGAGGAGAAAGATGCTTTGCCCTCTTCAAAGGATCCAGAAGCTGAGGTGAAGGATTTGACAAGTCCAATGACAATTGATACAGCACAAGGAGAGGAGAAAACGTCTGGAAAATCTGTTCCTGTAGCAGTGCCTCCTATAGACTCTGCCATTAATGAGGAAAACAGCGAGGAAAAGTCCTCAATTCATTCATCACAAAAAGTCACATTTCTTCCAGATATGAAGGAAAAGCTCACAACAATTGCCACAAAAGTTGTTTCATCATCTGTGAAAGTAGGGGGAAAGGACAGAAATTCATCAATTTCTTCTTCACCCAAACACCATTCTGTGAAAGTTGAAAAGAAGGAAAAGTCATCGTCATATTCAACCAAGTTCGGAGTCTCCCCCATGAAAACCAGTAACAAAAAGGATCAGGTGGCAGCTCCTTCTCACAAACCAACATTAAAGTTGGAAAAGCAAGAGAGAGCTGAGGCCATTTCTAAAGCCATGAGTGCTGCACAAATGAAAGTAGAAGGGCAAGATGGCCATCGTAAGGATGAAGAAAAAAAATCTAAAAAGGTTCATCATAAGGATGCAGAAAAAAAGTCTAGAATTAGTCATCTCAAGGACACGGAGAAAAAATCGAAAAACATTGTTAGGGAAATAGAGAAAAAGCCTTGTGTGCAAAAAGAGACCATTATCACAATGGACAGTTCTCGTGTTGCTGAGGTTCAGAGCTCCACTTCCAAATTCCAGTCCAATAGTGATGTTCAAAGTAGCAAGGACACTACCTCGATGGAGAACTGTATTCCTGAAGTAGTGATTTCAAGGGACACAACTCCACAGCACAAAGACACTGCAGAAAATCCAAAGGCATCAGACACTGATAACAGTTGTGCAAAAGAGGAAGTCGCCATGGATATTTCATAGCAAATAATTCCATCCTGCAATATTTAATATATATGAAACCTGATACAAATCTTCCTCAAGATGCAACTCCTGAACTTTGGAAGTGTCATATGTGCAAAACTGTTGTTGAAAATTGATATTTGTTTATTTGTCATAGATTTATGATAGACTCTTTACAGCACTTATGATCATGGTCTCTCATTAGGGAGTCCACATGAGTATATTGTAGTTTAACTTAGAGACATTTATAAAAAGAGTAAATTGTGACCTGCATTTTTTTAAGAGCATTTAAATGATGATGTTAATTGTATTTATTAGTTCTGACATCAAAACACTTCACAATTCAGTCTTAAAGCGTATTTTCTGTATATATCAGTTGGTGTCACTAGGGCTGTATATTGGAGGCTTGATGGGGTGATAAGTTGCCATATTATACTTGTAATAAGCCTATGGTCTCTAATTAGTAAACCTGTAATTAAGGACAGGTAAAGAAAATCTTAGCAATAGGTACCCATCTTTAGCTCACTTCCTTTCTTGTCACTGGCAAATTTTGAAGTAAATCGTAAAGAACTACTTTAATTAATAGAACTATTTATATGGAAAAGTTTACAGAATTGCATTGGAGTGTGGTAATTTGTCAATTGAAGACCACCATCATAACTACAGCTGCTATTGTAGTAAAAACTGGACATATGTGCCTGTATGTATACCAGATTTAGATCTGACTGTACCAGCTTTCTGTATGTTCATTGTATAAATTGTTATTATTATTCCTTATAACTTTTCTATGTGATGAGCCAATGTTTTGTATAAAAGCCTACGCCTTATACAGGTTAGATGGCTTGTACATGGAAACATGTCCTTCTACAATCTGCTGTTATCAGTTTTCTTGTGTCTAAAGGAGAAGGATCTCCAAGGCTTAATAATTATTTTCCTTGGGCTTAAGGAGAGAAGTCACCTCAGCTTACTAACAATTTTCTTTGATCTTCAGGAGAGGAGTCCCCTAGGCTTAATAGCAGCTCTCTGCAATCTTAAGAAGAAAAGTTTCCTTTGCTTAATAATGATTTTCCCCCTCTTAAGGTGATGAGCCCCACTAGGGTTAACAATATTCCCCCCATCTTAAGGAGAAAAATTCCCTTCTCTTAATAACAATTTTCTCCGGACTCAAATAGAGGAGTCCCTGGGCTTAACAACAATTTTCCTCAGTCTTAAGGAAAGGAGTCCCTGGGCTTAACAACAATTTTCCTCAGTCTTAAGGAAAGGAGTCCCTGTGCTTAACAACAATTTTCCTCAGTCTTAAGGAAAGGAGTCCCTGGGCTTAACAACAATTTTCCTCAGTCTTAAGGAAAGGAGTCCCTGGGCTTAACAACAATTTTATGGTCTTAAGAAGAGAAGTCCCATGGGCTTTATAACAACTGTCAGCCTCCTTAAGGAGAAAAGTTCCTTAGGAGTAATATCATTTTCCCTGTCTTATGGAGAGTCCCCTAGGCTTAATACAGGTAATTTGTGATGATACACCTTGGATTTAAGGCTTGATGTAAATGTCCGTCCAGAGAAGAATTAGGGTTGCCTTTTTCAATCATAATGAAGAAAATTCTATAAAAACAAATCTTTAGATATGATTTGAGATGTTTTTATGGTTTTTTGATAGAAGCCTGAGGTGAATGCCAGAAAAAATATTGATTGTTTCACCCCTTGTAGATAATCTCTTGGGGAACCAATCTTTAGAAAATGATAATTTCTGAAAGAGCTTGGTCATCTATCTAATTGTACTAGTTACTGCTGTAGCTAATTGATATGTCAATGGATGACCACCTAACAATAGATCTCAACCACATAAGTATTTATTGAGCAGAAAAATTGCACATGTATTTTGTAATATAATGCATTACCACGGTAATTAGAATTGTGTTACCTCTCAACTTCTAAATCAAGGCTCTAAATCAAAGATTAGTGCTGACTGAATTTATTTGTCTGTCCAAATTATTCTTAACATTCTTAAATCATTTTGGGGGCATTGTCTGAAGAATTCTGACATTCTATCTATCTCAGACCGATGTAAAATGTTAATAGAACATCAGAATGATTCTGACAATGTGGAGAGGGAGTGGGGTAAAGTTAAAATAGAAAGAAAAATTATACCTGGTAATCAGATTCCTCCTGCTACAAGACTTAGCTCTGATAAATACTGTTTCATAATATTCACATTTTGCAGTCAAGTTCTTGACTTGTTTTTGAAACTTTAATAATATAATCATAATGTGAAATCTGTAGTTGGGTAAAAATAGAGGTGTCGCTGTAATGTAAGTGTCATGTGGATGACAAATCATTCCCAAGTAATGATCCGCAGCAATGGTGAAAATGTTTAGGAATGATAGTGTATTTAAAGAAAGTATATGCTCCATGTAAGGAGATAAATTATTGTCAGATTGATGCATATTACGGCATCAACATTGTTTCATATAGAGCTACATATAAGGCTAGTTCCATCTTTGTTAGTGTGCTGGATCCGATTTCTGCCTACAGGTATGCATGTTTACTTAATACAATCACAGGATAGGTATATGATATATATATAAAATCATACATGCGCTTTAAGATTATATCTATACACGATATTGTATTGTGTTAATGAGGCAGCTAACAAGAACTGGAATTGTATTTAGACTTTTGTTGTTGTTGTTGTAGTAATATTTGTTTGATATGTGGTAATTTTGATAGCTACATTATTTTTCACATTGTTCACGTTGTACACATTGATACTATCAGGATACCAACTGTTGTATCACAGACAGAATGTTTGTAATTGTTGATACTTATTATTCAAATTTTGATTTGCTATTACCCTTGATTTTGACTTCACACAAAACGTGTGTAATCAGCATGAGCCCTCAATCCTAGCTTGGATTAAAATGGATTTTACCATAAATAGAATTCAGCACTACTTCTGATATTTTGAGATAAACCAAAGAATCAACATTTATACAAGGCTCTGGTCACCCATTTTTGTTTGGAAATTTTGTTGAGGATGTTTTACTTCTCTTCATTCATCTGACAAAAGGGTTTTCAGGTACCGATGAAAGATTTGTGTCACAGAAGTAAGTGACATATTAAAATTTCAAACATTTTTTAATGGAGATAATGCTTACTTTCTATACTGGGTTCACTTGATCCACCCATGATAAGGACCAAGTAGAATTCAAGACTGTGGAATACAATAATTAACAGTAACAATCCAAAACTAAAATCAAATGCTAATTTGTCAAAATACGTTTGTACATATTAGTTAATATAGTTTGTCATAAGACCTTGTAATCTTCATCTCTTATTAAATCTTAAATTTTTGAGATGTCAGTAAAGAAATCTTGACAATAAAAAGATTTTGTTCACAGTGTAGTAGAAAATGTTTGAAATTCTTACATTGTACATTGTAGTATGGATTTCTGAGAAGAAATTGTACATTCTTGTCTTGATATAAATAGGCTTTTTACCCTGGTAAAGAAGTACTGGTAGTTGTTGAAATCTTGTTGAATTTGTATCTCTGATGCATCAACACAAACAAAACAAGAGCAGTTTTAGTTGGAGTGATGAAGGTATGATTGTTTTCAATGCTTCACTTCCTGTTCAGAATCAATGTTATCACAAGCTACTTTATTATGAAAGGATTCCGGTCACACATGCAAAGGTCTACTATTCTTTAGGGTGTGGGGCAAAGGTCAAGGTCATGTTTACTATTTGAAGAAAATTCCCAACCAGCATTCAATGATATCACTTTAACACTAAGCTTTATGCAAATGTAAAACAATATGAAAAAAGGTTTTGTTTCATTATTTGTTTGTTTGCTCAGTGTATCTCGCTGTCAACAGCCAGGGTTATTTTGAGATGAGGTAACCTTGGAGTAGCTGGTGGCTATCTCACTGAATACCTTGCAGGAGGCCTGTCACTATGCTATTTAAAGCAATTACGGTAAAGTGTCACATGTAAGGACAAGAGCAAAACAATAAAAGATCATTCATGCTTTCGGCTTCTTGCAAAACACAGACCACCCTGATTAGAGATAGAGCAACACATCTCCGACCGACTGTTATCAAAGTCACTTATTATTTAGATGTATAATCTAATAAGGATACCAGTATTTGTGTCTTATCAACATATTCTTGTTTGCTGATGAACTTGACAGTTTAAATTGATAATTCACAGCATGCCAACTTGTTTTCCTTGTCAGAAACAAGCTACAGTTAACAGTGTGACTTGTATGACATTGACAGCAAATTGATGAAATACTTGTTTTCTGTAACACTAAACATTTAGATAGTATTCTTATTAGAAATAATAGTAGATTTAGATGAGAATTGTTTAAATGTGGTGTGGAAATGAGATGTTACTGCAAATACAACATTTATTGATTACTTGATGCAAAATACTTGAGTTTCCTTGAATGATGTGAAAATTATTTTCCTCTTATTGGATTCATAGATAAAACCAGATTTGAACAGAGTAATTATTTCATATGTGTCTTTTATATTACTTTTAGCCATTAACTTATTTTATGTTTAATTTTCCTGACTGTTACATAGGGCTGTTTCTCTATAGCATTGTTACATTAAATTAAGTTTTTTCTGTCTGGCACAGCTGTTATGTATAAGCTCTATGCAATGTGTTTTTATGTATTAATATTTTACCTGCAATAAGCTTATATTTACCTGAATGAAACATTACCATACAATGATACATTTCAATTTTCGTTCTGATCTGTAAGAATCTGTAGGATATCGTCAAGAAATGATGGTTCGTACAGATTTATATCTAATTCTCATGTTTACGAAAACTTTTCATGTGGTTATTAAGAGTGAGCAATATTAAATTTAATTACAGATATACATAAGGTGGTTCATCCAAAAATAAAGTCCTTCCTGCTGTGCTGATACAGGGACAAAATTTGGAATAAGCTAATACTTGATTTTGTCTCTATGTGGATGGTCTTTACTTCGAATTTGTCACAATTATATTTTGTTTTATATTTATCAGCTAACATTTATTTATTGAAGGAAGTAACAGGTTATTATTTCTCTCAAGGTATTGTAAAAAAAAAATGTAATTTCTGAAATGTCTTGTGCTTCTGCAGTTTTTGAAAGAACTTACCTGTTATGGTTTTGTGCAATTTAATCTCTCGTCGACCTAACAAAAAGCTCCAGTCCCCTACCATTGACTTTTTTCTTTAAGCTGGAAATGATACACGCTCAAATAATTGATTACATCGATCATAGCATGGTAATCAAGTGAAATTCACTGAATATGTAAACATATGTAAGGATTCAGTTTCCGTTGTTACCACAGAACATGAACCTCAGATTATTCTGTTGATTGATTTTTATAATGAACTGGACACAACATGAATGCCAAACTGATCTAAAATAAATTGATAGAATGTGCGAAAATTAGACTAAGAACATGCTCTAAAAAGTAGACTATATAGCCTATATATAAGGCTATCAAAGTTTGGTGTAGGTTACAGGACTAAACTTCAGTAAAATCATACTTAGGAAGGATTATTATGATAAAATTTACTTGAGATTGCT